GCCACCAGACCACCAGAAACCAAAGCGTATTCCGCGGACGTCCCTTGCACATCACTTGCATATCCCCTGCACATCACTTGCACGTCCCTTGCTGCACGTCGATCATGTTCTTGGCCCGACACTGCAAAGTCTGACGAGAAGTCGGACGAGTGCACGTCCGATACAGAGACAGCATCGCTCTCAAAGCTGGACACCGACATAATTTGAAGCTACCTGTACGTTACAAGTCTTTTTAGACCTGGAGAGTGCCTTGAGGACATGAATCAAAACAGTGTCTGCAAACATTCACAACACATGCTGCCAGCAGATCACTTGCATAACCCTTGCACATCCCTTGCACATCACTTGCGCGTTCCTTGCACATCCCTTGCAATACACTTGCAGCAGCACTGGCAAACAGACTCTTCTTTGCAACTGCAGAAAGTCTACGAAACTGCAGAGTCTATGCGTTCCAACATAGGCGAACCACACTCATGTCAGAGAGTCTACGCATTCCAACATAAGCAAACCGCACTCATGTCACAAATCTGCAGAGTCTACGCATTCCAACATCGGCGAACCGCACTCACGTCACGAAACTGCAGACTCTACGCATTCCAACATCGGCGAACCGCACTCATGTCACGAAACTGCAGAATCTACGCATTCCAACATAGGCGAACCACACTCATGTCAGAGAGTCTACGCCCTACGCATTCCAACATAGGCAAACCACACTCATGTCACCAGTCTGCAGAGACTACGCGTTCCAACATCGGCGAACCGCACTCATGTCACGAAACTGCAGAGTCTACGCATTCCAACATCGGCAAACCGCACTCATATGTCACGAAACTGCAGAGTCTACGCATTCCAACATAGGCGAACCGCACTGATGACACAAAACTGAAGTCTACGCATTCCAACATTGGCGAGCCGCACTCATGTCACGAAACTGCAGAGTCTGAGACGCTTGTAGAGCCAATATACAGCATCGTGCTGGGCTTTCTTATTGTTCAAAACCGAGGATGCAAAGCAATTGGGCATCCACCATCACTCTACAGAAAGTCCATGCACAGGAGACTGCAATCAATGACCTCGTCTGCCATTACAAAACGAGTATGCGCTCACACTTGCTGCACGGCAAACCTGCACTGCTAGACTCTCCGTTATGTCATTCAATCGGATAGGGCTGCATGGCAGGAATACTCTCAGCAATCATTTCCAGCAGCGTCTCAAAGCAGATAGTCTACGAAACTGCAGAGTCTATGCGCTCCACCATAGGCGAACCACACTCATGTCAGAGAGTCTACGCATTCCAACATAAGCAAACCACACTCATGTCGCAAATCTGCAGAGTCTACGCATTCCAACATCGGCGAACCGCACTCATGTCACGAAACTGCAGAATCTACGCATTCCAACATCGGAGAACTGCACTCATGTCACGAAACTGCAGAGTCTACGCATTCCAACATCGGCGAACCGCACTCATGTGTCACGAAACTGCAGAGTCTACGCGTTCCAACATAGGCGAACTGCACCGATGACACGAAACTGAAGTCTACGGATTCCAACATAGGCGAGCCGCACTCCTGTCACGAAACTGCAGAGTCTACGCATTCCAACATATGCAAACCGCACTCATGTCACGAAACTGCAGAGTTTACGCATTGCAACATATGCAAACCGCACTCATGTCGCGAAACTGCAGTGTACGAGTCGCACAAGCAAGCAAAACCATGTACTGAACCAATCACTCCAGCTTGGTCGGACACTGCAAAGTCTGACGAAAAGTCGGACGAGTGCCCCCTGCTCATTCGACTCAGATTTACCTACCCTTCGAAACAGGGGTGGACACACACAAGCCCTCCCGGGCTCATTGCTCTTTCGAACTTACTGACAGGAAGCACTCACGTACATAGCACATGCATGACGATCCAATCACTTGCACAGCACTTGCATGACAACGCGCACTCACTTGTCCAGATCGCCACCAGACCACCAGAAACCAAAGCTCCACCACCAGCAGCTCCAATGCTCCACCGGGCCACCAGAAACCACAGCTCGTTCCACCAGCTTCGCTTCTGTTCAAACAAAACGCTACAAGCAAGCGATGCAGTAAGGCAGAGAGATGCGCACTCCGAAAGCATGTAGGCATGCACTCACTCACCAAGGAAGAAAAACGTTTTCAAGCTTGCACTAGCACGACACTTGCGATGCAGTAAAGCAGCGAGATGCGCACTCCGAACGCATGTAGGCATGCACGCATTGACCACAGAAGAAAAACGTTTGCCAAACTTACACTTGCACAATACTTGCACGACGACACGCACTCACTTGCACTGCTCTTGCCGATCGCAGAGTCACTGACCAAGGTAACACCTGGTGCCAAAGCTGAACGAAGTCTCAAACTGCAGCACTTGCAAACTGATCAGCAACTACCAAAAGTACAGCTCATGTACTCAACTTGCAGCCGAAGACCTGCGACAAGTCAGCGGTGAAGTCAGATTCGGGAAAGTCAATCAGATCATAGAAAGTCAGTGGGAAAGTCAGCATTCAGGTTTCGGCAAAGGCATTTGGGAAAGACTCACTGAGAAAGTCAGCTTGCAAGCACGGATATAGAATCAGGGAAAGTCATCCAATGCTTATACAGTCAATCGGGAAAGTCAGCGCCAGAGCTACCTCTGGGAGACACGGCGCCCATAGGGAATGCCGTTGTGAAGCACACTTGACACATCGTGTCGCAGGTCTGATCTGTCGGTGCATACTGTCAGGGAAAGTCAGCAGCTGTCAGGGAAAGTCAGAAGCTGCAAGGGAAAGTCAGAACATGCAATCAGAAGCTCGTACGAATCTTGCTCTAGGGTTACTGATTTGCAGGTACGTTTGCACCCCTCCCTGGGGGTGTCTTCGTTGGCCGGTGACCCCCAGGGAGAGCACCGGCCCCCTGCTGCCTAACTCACTCACGTCTCTTGGAAACAGAGTTGGACACACACACACACACACTCACTCAAGCCCACAATGAATCGTCATGTCCACATGCACAACGAAGTTCAAAATCACAAACAGCACAAACCAACGAACGACAGTGACTCAAAACTTGGCAGCCGACCAACCCCAGAAGCCAGAAGGCCCCCGCCAGGTGTAGACTGCCTCGGTCAATGTCGCTTTGCACTTAGCCGGCTTAGCCACTTCGCCCTGCTTCAACAACCTGAGCCCCTCACCATGTACAGATTGTCGAAGACAGCACCCCCAAAGTTGAGGATGGAGTACACCCACTGCAGCGAAAACAGCTTCCGGAACAAGGAACACTTGCTAAGTTTCGCCCTCGGAGGGTGGATAGGGAAGGGGCTGCAGGGGTGTAGAATTCCGATGTCTCCGCAATTCGCAGACCGAGTTGGAATCTCACCAAACCTTGTCTGCCCACGACATCCTTGCCAACACTATCGGCGTTTTGGGGTTGGAAGTCACGAGATGATCACTGCTCTTTCGTGTCTTTTCTGAGCTTCTGTACATTCCAACATACTCCCCTGCCGCACGTGCTAGCTAAGCTTTTCAAGATTCCTTCTTGATCTTTGCATCGATGCCCGGGAGGCTCAGATCAGGAGTGTTGCAAAAAGATCAGAAAGGATTCATAAAACAACGAGGTTCCTTTCAAGACTCATGGAGCGCTCTCGGGGTTGAGAAACGCTTGAGATGCTCTTCGTTTTGTCGTCTTTCAGGAATTCCCAGAGCTCGGAGACCGCCAGTACAACGGCACCATCATGTAAATCTGAGTGGCCCCTATGCACTCCCTCCGTTGAAGGCCATTAGCGTTGCTGACTGTCTGAGTAGCCGACAGTGGGTGTGTCATTCTGGATGCCTTTGACCTCGTTTGCTTGTCTTGCCGGCGCTGTCGCATGCTTCCCCTCATGCAGCTTGGAAACTCTCCGTCGGGCAGATTCCTGGATCCTCAGCGACAACGAGATTCCCCACCAATCTTGAAGTGCCTATACCATAGTCTGGTCAATCAGGGCTGGTACACCGCGGGCACGGTACCCTCCGGGACGAGAGCGAGGATATTGTCGGAGCCTTGTGAATGCTTGAAGCATGCGTAACATCAACCGCACTGGAACACAGTACGAGTGAATGTGAAGTGTCTCTGCGCCCATTGCAAATGCTCAATATTGCCCAAACTTGATGTCTGGATCTTTTTTCATGCCAAATCTTCCGAGATTCCAGGCGAGTCAAAGCGGTTACCGACCTGTCCTGACCATTCCGTCACGTCCACTGCCAGCATAAGGCCACTATAAGGCCCATGCAGTTCCCCTTCTGACGTTTGATTAGGCCTGGGTAACAGCCCCAAGTAATCGCCTGCTCTCCTGCTAAGTCTAAGCCCGAGCATTGGGGCAAGCCCGATTTGAATCGGCTCAATTGCAATGGCAGCATCCACATCACGGCGGCGCTGGCCCAACAGCGGCCGAGAATCTGGCAATGCTCAAAATTAAGGTGCCACCCCGCCACGTGTGCTCGCGGAGTATAGTCCAGCGACACAAAAACCAGGGGGGCAGGTCACAGGCTCCAGATGCTTTAGCATTTTTTACTCACACAGAAACTCACACGATCGGCTCAATCGCGACTTCAAGAATTTGAGCTTGGCATTTGGGCACGGCCTTGCTACTGGGTCTCCTTGCTGCACTTTGACAGCTCAACACCGTCTGCTCAAACGGTGCCCTCAACAGAAGTCGTTGCCGGGCAAGTGGAGACCTGCGGGTAAGTGCCGCCATGATGCGGTGACTCAGGAAAACAGGTGGCATGCTGCGGCAGTTTACTTACTGTTTACTTACAACTTTTCGCTCCTGTTTCAGCTGCAGACAGAATAATACGTCCGGGCACGAAGCAATCCAACCAACAGCGTGGTGCCGAAAATCTGGTTGACAAATCTGGAAAATTCGACCCGCCAGGAGTTCTCCTTCTGTGCATGAAAAACTCGGCACACGACGCAAATCTGAATGACCACTACAGCTGTGCCAGTGGAGATATCAGAACTTGCAAAGCTCGAGGGGAACTCGTACCAACATCTTGCCTGTGTTCGTGCCGCGGAACAAGCCCATGATGCCATCAGGCAAGTTTTCGAACCCATCCACAAAGCTGGAGCAGTCCGAGATCTTGCCCTCACGCAACCAGCTTGACAACGTCTCTGATGCCTCCGCCATTGCCTCGGGAGGGAAGAAACCCACAATAAAGCCTTCCATGCGCAAGCGCTTGGCAATGATGTGGAAGAGGTTTCTTACCCCATAGCGCTGCTCGGGCTTTGCATCGTACTGCGAGATAGCGCCACAGAGTGTGACACTGCCTGTGTCATTCATCATCTCCAGCACCGCCTCAAGGGTTTCCCCGCCGACGTTGTCGAAGCATGCATTCAAGCCTTCAGGACAGAGACGTTTCAGGGCCGCGAGCACGCTCTCATCACGGTAGTTGAAAGCCTCAAACCCGAGCGACTGCAGATGTTTGACCTTGTCGGCGGAGCCTGCACTGCCGATGACGCGGCATCCCATCTGCTTGAGGGTGTGGCAGGCGATCAAACCTGTAGCTCCTGCCGCCCCGGAGACGTAAGCCACATCGCCGGGGTTTGGCCTAGTCACATGCTTTACACCCAGGTAGCCAGTCATGGCCGTGAGGGCTAAGCAGGAGAAAGCTGCCGAGGGCGACACTCCCTCGGGCATCTTCTGCAGCATTTCAGGAGTCACGGCATTGATCTCTCGCCACGGAGCATTTGCGAAGACCATTTCGCCCTTGGAGAACCCATAGGCCTTGGACTCCAGAACCAGCCCTGCAATCCGCCATGTGATCACAGAACCCGGTGTCCAGTTCATCATCTTGAAATATGCAGAGCCTTCGGTTCGCTCAGCCGCCTCCTCTCCTGCCATGGCATTTCGCATGGTCGGGTCCATGCTCATCAGATGCGTGGCCAAGAGAACCTTGACGAGGCTTCAGCGCCGGACTAACATGGAATTTCACGCCAGCTTCAAAAGCAGTGCCTCGCCTCTCCCTCCTGACATTCCGGCATTCGGCACTCGCGAAGCTCCAGGTCAGTCGTCTGGAAGCCCTCCGGGCCGGGCCTGCTCCGTCGAGATTTCACGCACGCTCGGTGCTCGCACTGCTCGCACTCTCAACACTGAACCCACCTTTGCTTCAGGATCCATTCCCGGTTCTTCCTTGCCGCCATGGCCGGGACTGTGACTACCGCAGGTCCAGGTCTAGTTCCGCAAGACTGTCTCAGGCTGGCATGCATGAATGGGAGTCACTGCTCAGCGAGGCTGATGTGCTATGCAAGCTGACTTGCGACCTGCGAGAGCCAGTCCATGACAGATGCTCTTTGCACGTGTTGTCATTCAGCTACATAAACTTCCTTTGATGTGGAGAATTGGCAGGTGCGACGCTTGCGAAATCTTGCGTGGTTGCTTGGCATTCCATGCTGCTTCCTGCAGGGCCTGCAACGACGCGACTGACACCCCTCGACATGCACCCCGCCTCGTTCGTCGCTGGCGACTTTCCAGCAGCGGTCCTGTCGCTGTGATCTTCCACAATCTTTACGCGTCAGCTATCCTATGTACTGCAATCGACACGACATCCCCCCGCATGCATGGCAATGGAAGTCCAGCACTGTGGAATCCGTGATTATTCTGGCATGCTTGCAAACGCTTTCGCACTTGGCTGTTGCAACTGTGCCTTCATCAGCCATCGTACTTTGCTAGCCACGAAGTGCGCCACCTCTCAGGCGGTACGTTGCATATTCGACTCGGGAATGTGAAGGCAATTATGCCTGGCTCATAGCTGTGCGAAGATGCTGGTGGGACGGACATGACTTAGTCGGCAGCCTCCTCAGCCGCCGAAGCTGCATCCAGATCCGCCTCCCACCATCTCGACTGCTGCTCGACTGCTGCGGATCAAAGTTCGGACAAAGGACAGGGCCGGATTGCTGGCAAGAGCTATCAGGTGACCGATGCTGCCTTGTTCGCTCGCATGGAGAACCTCGCGACCATGCTGAGCCAGCGAAAGAAGGAGTTTTGACAAGCTTGCCGACAGCTGGACTGACCAACCAAAACCTGATGAAACCACAGAATCACAAAGTGTACCACGCCACAGGTAGATTACTCGCTGCGAGAGAGAGAAAGAGAGAGAGAGAGAGAGAGAGAGAAAGAGAGAGAGAGAGAGAGAGAGAGAGACAGAGAGAGACAGAGAGAGACAGAGAGAGACAGAGAGAGACAGAGAGAGACAGAGAGAGACAGAGAGACAGAGAGACAGAGAGACAGAGAGACAGAGAGACAGAGAGACAGAGACAGAGAGAGAGAGAGAGGGAGGGAGGGAGGAAGGGGACAGAGAGAGGGAGAGAGAGGGAGAGAGAGCGAGGAGGAGAGGGGGAGAGGGGGAGAGGGAGAAAGGGAGAGAGGGAGAGGGTAAGGCAGAGGGTGAGGGAGAAGGGAGAGAGCAACCTCAAGAATCACTACCTCCATATCCTCTATATTTAGTTGCATTTCCCCAAACTGTCCGAATGAGTACAATAACAGACGCAGGGAAAGATGCGCATGCCCTTGTCGGATCACGACCACGAGAAGGGTAAAGGGCTGCTTCAGAACTCGCTGCAGCAGCCCCAACAGGATCGGCGAAGATCTGTGTACTTCAGGCACGCTTTAAGACCCTCCACACTGCAAACTTGCTCTATACATTCACTCCGCTGATGTAGCCCCCGTTATACCAGCAGAAGTCTGGACCTTGTTCCGTGAAGCTTAATGGGGCCAAGACGCAAATGCAGCTGCATTGGCTCCAGCCGCCATGTATGATGGGGCCCGCGGTAGAGGCAGAGGCTGGTGATGATGTTGCATTCCTTTCCTCAGTCGCAAGGCCGTTCCGTCCAGAGAGCTCGAACAAGGCGTCAGCAACTGGCAGTGCCGGACAAGCATCGCAGAGCTCCCTGGCGATACCTCAATCGCAATGCAACCCGGACTTCCCTTGATCTTCAAACAACGTCCATGTCACGGTATAGTAGCCAAGGCACGTGAAAATCACATCCTGGCTTTGGGCTGCATGGAGCGTCATTGTCAGCTCCTGGAAAAGACCAGCGATGGGCATTCGCCAGTTAAGCCTTGTGAGGGCAGCTACTCGCGCACCAGTGCCTGGAACTGCTGCATCACATCATCCGATGCAAAAGCCAGACCTTCATCTGTTCCCACCTCAGCCAACGCAGACGCGGGATGACGCGGGCCCATGGCACAAGGGCCAACGAAATTCTCGCTGGTGGTTCAGAGAGCGTCGGACTGCTGTAGGGCTCGCACCAATGCAAAAACGCATGCAAAGACGTTCTCTGGGAGCAAGCCCAGATGCAAGGACATGCTGTCCCCGGCAACTGTGCCCACGTGCAGAAAATCCTGGAAGAATTGCAGCTTGCATTTGAGGTGGCTTTGCTGCCGACAATCGGTGCTGGAGTCTAGTGGCGAAACAACCCATGTCAATTCCTAGTCAGAAGTCCGGCATCTATGCGACTCGGCCTGTGCAGCCACTTGACATCTCTCTATGCATCGACACCGCACCGAAACATAACCCGACTCGAGTCCAGGCGCCGCTCTTGAGAAAGCGTCCCCCGACGTGAAGCTACTTTAATGCTTGGACGGATTGGAAGACTCGCCCCGGTGCAGCAACAGTGTCGGGCGCTTGTCTGATGTCAATCCTGGAACCGACAGTGCGGAGCCAACCCAAGCCCAAGAACCCAAAAGACAGACATTCCGCCCGCGTAGCTCAAACTTTCAGGAAAACAAAGAGAAAGAGAAGAGGCTGGTGCGTGACTCACTTCCTCGGTTGCCCTCCTCTTAGCTGGCTCTATGCCCGCACACACACACACACACGCACAGCAAAAAACACAACAACAAAAACTCGATAACTGTCATAGTGACACGGAGCCTCCTCGTCGTCACGACCAATTTCAGGAGCCTCACGGCACTGAGAATCAAGTAGGGTATCCCGTGTCCCGTCTTCGGTTCTCAGACTTGCAGGATAAGCTCGAGGTGCCGCTCGGCTGTGGCGTGCGACCCGACACTTGGCCTGCAAGCTTCTCGGCTGCTGTGCTCTGTACCTGTCACGCACTGCCAGGTCGAGATGGACCCACTCTTTGCAACACTGCCGTGGTGCTGGATGCCATCGAAGCGGCTATCACCTGCTTGCTGTTGCTGCGCAGAGACTAGGAGTTGGGACTCACCCTGCTCGGTCTGCGCCTTCCCAAACATGTCGCAGGTACTTGCCCTCCTTCGTCATGAGCAGGCACATGCACTTGAGATGTCCTTAAGGCAAGCCAACGCAGTACGAGAGACTCCGATTGCAGCGCTCTGGATGATCCAAGCGTCCCTGTCCCTTCCAGAAGAGTTTCCTGAGCAGATTATCCATGGAAACTTAGTTGCACAAGTGTCCAGCAGGCCCTGCTGCCTGATGCACCCTCAATACGATCACCAACTGAAAGGGAACACCCGTTTCGACCGGTTCGTGCCCTGGGCCAGCACCAGAGCCCTGTCAGAAGCAATACGATCTCTGAACACAGGTTCATCCTTCACACAGCCAAGAGTCAAATCAAGAGCTTCTGCGTTTGCTCGGCTGGACAAGCCGACAACCTTGTTGTAACTTGTCGCATCTGCTTACATCGGATGATGAGATCACTGACACACCGATGTTGAAGCAGAGATGCTCGATCTGGCATTGTCCCTAGGAGATCCTGCAGGCCCCGGCATTCACAGTGTGGCGAGGCTCCACTCAAGCCAGTCAGCCACACAGCAGGGCTCTGCAGGCCTGATCCTCATCTTGAGGTTTCAGCTTCACGGGGAAGAGCCTTCAATACTTCGGCGGGCCACGGCCAAGCTGGCGGCAAACTGCAACATTTTCAAGATCCCGGGCTTAAGTGAGGTCTGCTCTGGCTGAGCCGAGCAACCATGGCCGATCCTCCTTGGCATCACATCGTGGCCCGAATGGTAAGCGAAGGAGCTTGAAGATTCCACCAAGCATCGACCTGCATGCCTGCCAAAGTGCCGATGGCAAAAACCATGATTCTGAAGCAATGGTGATTTGAGTCGTTGCTCACATGATGTGGGACAATCTCACAGTTACGAAAACAATGAAAAAAATTGTTCGTACCTGTATCTGCACCCTCGGCCTGAAAGCTTGCCAGCGAATCGCTGCTGTTTGCCATGTGCAACAAGCACGAGCTACCCAGAATCCGCAAGCAAGAGTAGACAGAGTATGGATCATTCAAGCGGCCATGCTTTTTACTTGACTCTGTTGTGCCTTTCAGCCATGTGCTTCCCACGATGCCTTCGACCGGAAGAAGCTGCGGTCACTGCGTGAGGGTCTTCGCAAAAGGCTGCACGAGGAAGCACTAGGAAGTTTAAGCTCTGCGCTCTCAAAAAGCTTCTTCACACTCCAGAACCAGTATGGCATCACCTGGGTGCAAGATGCAAAGTCCTAAATTCTTGCGCTTTGGATGTGCTGTCAAGAGCTGTACTAGACTTGACGAAAAAGCAAACACGGATCAACAAGCAAAATCTGGGATGACAATCATATCAAAATACTCATCAAAAACCAAAAGGTCACATTTCCTAGAGGCTGTACCAATTGAGCACTGCCACATTTCGGATCAAGAACAGTAGTGAAAACGGTGATCCAAACGACAGCAGCCGCTCAGTAGCTGCAGTACGAGTCGAAACCGGCAGCAGTGGCAGAAAATGGCAATGGTAGCAATATTGATCAGAATGGATAATACTGGTAATCGTGGGGATATTCTTGTTGTTGTTGTAGTTGTAGTTTGTCACCCACATGGCACGCCAATGACAGCTCCGTGAGGACTTAACTGGTAACTGGTCACAATGGAGCCCAAGTAAAGAACAACTTAGTAGTAGTCGTAGTAGTAGTAGTAGTAGTAGTAGTAGTAGTAGTTGTTGTTGTGTTGTAATAGTAGTAGGAGTAGTAGTAGTAGTAGTAGTAGTAGTAGTAATAGTAGTAGTAGTAGTCGTCGTCGTCGTCGTCGTAGTCGTAGTCGTAGTCGTAGTCGTAGTAGTAGTCGTAGTAGTAGTAGTAGTAGTAGTAGTAGTAGTACTAGTACTAGTACTAGTAGTACTAATAGTACTAGTAGTACTAGTAGTACTAGTAGTAGTAGTAGTAGTAGTAGTAGTAGTAGTAGTAGTAGTAGTAGCAGTAGTAGTAGTACTAGTAGTACTAGTAGTAGTAGTAGTAGTAGTAGTAGTAGTAGTACTACTAGTAGTACTAGTAGTAGTAGTAGTAGTAGTAGTAGTAGTAGTAGTAGTCGGAGAAATAGTAGTAATAGTAGTTGTCGTCGTCGTAGTAGTTGTAGTGTGTCAACAAAGTCGAACCGTCGAAAGCGCAAGATCACCGGTCATCTTGCTGCTCTTGGGGAGAGGCGGGGCAGAGTACCAAGCAATCTTTGTGATCTTGGTCTGGGTATTTTCAGGCCTAAGGCGGGTAATCTTGCCATCTTGGTAATCTTGGTCAAATGGTGCAAAAGGTGCAAGATTGCCAAGTTGACCACCCCCAACCCCTGACCCCAAAAATGCCCGACCGATGCCAATACTAACACTAATACTAGTACTAAAACTAGTAGTCATAATGCTAAGAGTACTAATAGGGATACTGATACTAATGCCTATACTAACGCTAATAAGAATATTAGTTCTAAAACCAATACAAACACTAGTGCTTTTTCATTTATGCTAATACTACCAACCCTTTTTTGAGTCACGGACTGAGGCACGTTTGAAGAAACCGTGTTGACGCAAGAAGCTGAAAAACTCTGACAAAATGATGGCCGTACGACCTAGATTTCAAGCCTGCAACACTGCCTGAGCTGCTACTTGTATGACCGGGACAACCTCGAACTCCCAAATCGTAAACCATCGTAAACCCTAAACCGATGCGCGCGCCGGGGGCGCGTAACACTCGCACTCATACTACTTACAAGTAACTACCACCCCTAAACCCATAACCGGTGCACGCGCCGGGCCCAACCCTAAACCCTAAAACCCTAAACCCTAAAAGCCCCAACCTCTAAAAACCCCAAACCCTAAACCACCTTAAGCCCATAAACCGATGCGGGCGCCGGGCGCATGTGTAATGGGTAACATAAGCTGCTGACCCTAAACCCCTAACCTGTAGGATCCCTGTATCCTAAACCCTAATTTAAACTGAAACCCTAAGCCTAAAACGAAAAGCCCTTAAACCCTTGCCCTTTTTTTACACAGGTTTGATTGGAGCTCGCCCGGCCAGGTACCCCTAAAACCTTCTAGACCTCAAGCCCAAATCTTGGTGGAGGGATGCGGGTGATCCGGGGAAGGCGGGGGAGGGGTAATCTTGGTAATCTTCGTCAGCAAGTGGCGCAAGTGAACCCCTCTTGACCTCCCAAAAGCAACATGACCAAGATGATAAGATTACCGACAAAATGGGTCGCGCGCGGATTCCTTCAACTTTTCGCCGATTATTCCGTCAACCACTGACCGCGGATTCTGTCAACCCGGAAACGCGGATGCCTTCAACCTCAAAACCTGCTTCCTTCAACCTCAGAACGCAGATTCATTCAACCATGTCCAAAGAAATGATTCCTTCAACCCAAAGAACTGCTTCGTTCAACCCATACACAACCTGATTCTTTCAACCCCAGCATGCAGATTCACTCAACCCCCAGCACGCAGACGGGGGGGGGCGGAGTTGACGGAATCAGCACAGTATGCGTTGACGGAATCGGGCGATGGGGGTTGACAGAATCGGCAATATCCGGGTTGAGGGAAGCGGGCGATGGGGGTTGAAAGAAACGCACAATCTGAGTTGAGGGAAGCGGGGAACATGGTTGAACGAAGCGGGGTTGAGAGAATCTGGGTTGACGGAACCGCGCGAAATTGATGAAGAAGGCTTGCACCGACAAAATGTCGTGTAATCTTGCCCCCCCGCCCCCGCCGCAAACGACCAGGTCAGAGCCTATTGCTAGTACTACTACTAATCTTAGTACGACGCCGACGACGACGACGACTGCTACTGCTACGGCAAGGTGGAACCGCTAATTCAATTGGTCATTTTGGTCATCTGTTTTCTATTGGTAGTCTTGGTCCTCGGGGGGAGTGTTTGGACTCTTCTGGCCTACGCGACGTGGCTTTTGTTTGCGGGGCTGGCGGGGTCCGCGGTCTGCAGAGTCCATTCTTCATCGCAGCGTTGAGTTCAACACGCACGCGCAGACATACACATCTATATATATATATATACATATATATGTATATGTTTTAATGTATGTAATTATGTATGTATGTTTGTTTGGACATATTTACGTTTTGCCGCAGAGCATCCATGTCCCAACCATGACAACATCCACTCAGACCCCACCCGTTCTGCCAGAGCATCCACGTCCCAACCATGACAACGTCCACTCAGACCCCATCCGTTCTGCCAGAGCATCCATATCCCAGACCATGACAACTTCCACCCAGACCCCATCCGTTCTGCCAAAGCATCCATGTCCCAAAACCAAATCTCGCAACGAAGCTGGAAGACAGTGCGAAGCGCTTTCTTGAACGACTGTGGCAGAACACCGACAGTCACGACTCTCAACCCTGCAGTGAGCCTTGAATGAATTATGTGCACCACACAGGACCCAATCGCAACTGTGCAGTTCCGATGTAATGTCTGGAACCTGTCTGAAGCCCCAATCACTCGTAAATAACGAGTACAATATAGTAAAAGTCAAATCAAGCTATCTCACAAACAAAGGTGAGCAAACGATCCGCCTACAGCCTGGTGGTGGTAGTAGTAGTAGTAGTAGTAGTAGTAGTAGTTTTTGTCACCCAGTAGTAGTAGTTGTTGTTGGTACAGACAAAAACAGCAGCCCGTACTTGTTGTTAATTCGAAGCAATTGGGAATGCTTCCGGCTAGGGTGCCTGTAGAGTTTTGAGAAGTGCAAGCCATGGTTTACACTGCAACTGCCCCATGATAGAAATGCGGTGTAGGCTGGGTGGTTGTAAAAGGGGGGGGGGTCAAAACAACAGACGGGGCTCCAGTTTTTGCCTCTACTGTAGGGGGTAGGGACAAAGGCACCAGCGAAATCAGGACTTTGTCTCTACCCCGGAAGTAGACGCAAAAGCTGGAGCCCTGTCTGTTGTTTTGACCCCCCCCCTACAACAACCGCCCACATTACACCACATTTCCACCACAGATATAGGAATCTGCGATATCCAGAAGGGGTTCTGATGGGTGTTGGAAGGGCTTGTCTGGAATTTTGAGGGGTTTGCCAGTTACTATACAGTAGTTTGTACAGGCCTCGCAAATCCATAATCTGCACAGCGGGGAACTGAAATACACACCAAATCCATTGAAAATACACACCAAAACCATTGAAATACACACACCAAATCCACTGAAATACACACCAAATACACACCAAATCCACTGAAATACACATTAAATCCACAGAAATACACACGAAATCCATTGAACCTACACACCGAAATCATTGAAGCACACACACGCCAAATCCATTGAAATACACACCAAATCCACTGAAATACACACCACATCCACTGAAATACACATTAATGATGATGATGATGATGATCTCTGTCGGACGGTAGCCTTCTCCCCACGGTTGTGAGGTAGCTCTCCGCCCCCAAAAGAAGGTGCCGCTTGGCGGACCTCCCAACCCTAAAGAAGAGGCCGAGCGCGAAGCCCAATCGCCTCCCAAGCGAATTCGCTTGCCAGCACACCTCAGGCGGCCAGCGCAAGCGTGCAGCCTGAGCCAAGCTACTCAGGCGCCCCTCACTGCAAGGGTTGACGAGGAGTGTGAGGAACACTCCCGGTCGGCAGCTGCTTGTCGTCCTTGTTCTCAAACTCAACCCGGCCGCGCTGGCCCAAGTACTGGCTGCTCTTGCCCACAGGGCTCGCAGTTCCCCCTTCAGAGTGCGTGTAGCATGTCCAGTCCGTCGCACCACTAACAACACTGAGCTCGCTCAGACGGCGGTGCACCTCCACCTCGCCAGCAGCCTCAGTCGGGTCACTACAGTGTCTCTTGCACGGGGGCGTAAGTCCTGTGTGGCCCTTCTCGAAACGATCTGGCGCAGTGCTCCTCCTGGGGGTCATGACCTCACCAGCAGATGTCGCAGCGTCCCCTGCCGCCCCAACCTGCGTAGTGTCGGTCGGCTCCTTCGCGTCCATGTCAGATGCAGCCGCCGCCTTGGCTGCTCTCTTTCGCTGGCGCTTGCTACGACGCTTGGCCCGAATGGCCTCACGCCGTGCTCCTTCCTCGTCACCACCGACGCAGGCATCAGTGGGAGCGTGCTCAGGCACCTGGGACTGCCGCCGCTGGTTGCCCACCGCAGTGCCAACTGGTCGAAACACAGCTGACACTGCCGCGGCAGCAACTGCAGCAACAGTCCTTCTGGGCGCACGAGCATCGCAGGCGGCGCGAATCGCAGCTGCCACGAGTGACGCTGCATCGCACGCTGCCATGGCACCCTATGGCTGAGCAGCTAGGGGGACCTACTCAGCGCAGCAGTCGCTTGGGCCTTGAAATACACATTAACTCCACCGAAATACACACGAAATCCACTGGAGATACACACCAAACAGTATACACCACAGGCATCCACAGGCACTGTGGTGTTGTTGGGGGGAGGGGAGGGTAAAACAACATGACGGGGCTCCTGTTTTTGTCTCTACCTCATGGACAGACAAAAAGGAGATATATGGGTTGACGGGGCTGCAGATTTTGTTTGTACCTTGTTGTTGTTGTTGCTGTTGTTGTTGTTGTCGCCCTTGTTGTTGTTGATGTTGTTGTTTTGGTAGTGGTAGTTTCTGTTACCCACGTGGCATGCCTCTGACAGCTCTGCACGGACCTATCTGGTAACAAATCACAACACAGCCCAACATTGGAATTGTAATGAAAAGCAACAAGAAGAAGTAGTAGTAGTAGTAGTAGTAGTAGTAGTAGTAGTAGTTTTTGTCACCCACCTGGTAGTAGTAGTAGTAGTAGTAGTAGTAGTAGTAGTAGTAGAAGTAGTAGTAGTAGTAGTAGTAGTAGTAGTAGTAGTAGTAGTAGTAGTAGTAGTAGTAGTGGTAGTAGTAGGAGCAGTAGCAGTAGCAGTAGCAGTAGCAGTAGCAGTAGTGGTACTTGTTGTTGTTGTACGTAGTACGACAGACGTAGTACGTGGCAGTACAGCATTTCTTAGTTTTGAACTTTTGATCCGTACATGAGCTTTTGTTTTGACATTTGAGATCGATTTGATATTTTGGTCGATTTTGACTCGTTTGATGCCTCTACCTCGAAACCTAAAGTATCATTTGCTCTTATGACTCTTGCTGGACTGAGGCCGCGAGCAACCCAGTACAGCCAGGGGTACTGATATGACCAGGCCTGGGCTGATTTCGGAGCATCCCTTCAGTCCGGAGCTTTCGAAGCTCCTACGCGCTGGTGATTCACTCCGAAGCTGTGCCCATGTCACAAGGCTACAGCAATCTGCTCGTTCTGCTAGGGCGAAGGCTATTGCATGGATGCCTTGGAAAGAGATGATGAAGGAATATGCGAGCTTAAACAGCACGCGCTGCACCTGTCAGGAGAATGACGAGGCCATCTAGGACGGGAGGTCTCTGCAATTTGCCTCAGGCCCGCGGAAATACTTGAGCAACGGCCACATGGTGATATTGTTTACCTCGGAGGCCCCAGGCTTTGGGCGGACGGCTTGGGTGATAGCCGGAGGGTCGAAGCTGAACATGCAGAAAGTTGGAAGCACCTCCCCAACCACCAGCCGGGTTGCCATGAAAATGATCCACGTGGAGATGGCCCAGAGTACCCCTGAGCAGAGCAAAGGAAACTCGCTGCCCAAATGCAAGACGTTCGGTTCGGCTCACCCTCACCGAGCGGGTGGCCCCGCCTGGCGACTCTCGGAGGCATCGCTCCTGTCTCCGAGCAGTGGCCTACTCGACGGTCTTCACTCGACGTGTGCGCGGTCTCAAGTCCTCGATGATGGCATAGAGAACCACGCCAATCTGCATGGCACCGGTCCTTGGCAACCATTCTTGTGGTGCACTGCAGTCAGTGACTTGGCATTCGGAGAATTGAGATTGTGGCGCAGTGTGCATCAAGCCACCTCAAGTGCTCACAGTTGTCTTGCCTTCGTTGGCTGCAATGCTACACGACCAAGACGAGAAGCTGAAGGAATTCGACTTCCTCTTGAGGAAAGCCATCTGGAAAAGTGAGAAGAGGGAAACCTGCCGTGTGGCCATGAGGCGTGTCGCAACTTCTCTTGGAAGGAAGCCGGACCTAAGCCTCCTGAGACTAAGGACCAATGCCACCGGCATGAGCAGTCTGCCGACTTGGGCGTGGCTCTCCATAAATCTTCAATCAGCTCAACTGACAGCATCGCCCTCACGAAGCCAAGGCACGGCCGACAGAAGGCCCATGAAGCTGTCCTGCCACACACAAAACCAGCTGTCTCCAGCGGAATGCACTTGTCTGTCCCTGCTACACAACTTTCTTCAATCAGGTCAGCTTTCGCAGCTCAGGGCAAGCATTGGAGAATTGCTTCCAGGTCACAGACATCAAGAGCAGCCAAGAACACCGAAAACGGTCACGTGCATGTCAAGTCCAGCGCCACTTGTTTGCGGAAAGAGTCTGCATCTTCTTAAACTTCTTATCGAAAGACTCTCGAGCCCGGTGTCAGTCACTTGACCCGATGTCCTCGATCACACCACCCGGTCCGGGCGCATGGTTGGCCCAAACACCAGTCCACACGTCCTCGAGTGGGACTGTGCGCAAAGCAGGTTGGTTTGCGACACAGAGACAGGAAGCAGGCACAAACGGGCGCAGTCCTGGCCCCACTTCTCCACTGACGTCAGCCACGTCCCGAAGAATCCAGTGGCTTGGTTGGCCTGTTCAGGCGACAGCTGACAAATGAGTGGCTATGACCAACATAGCCAATAGACACCGGCACGGCGCAGGACCCCATCGCCCTGTCTTCGAATCCTTGAGTGAAACTTGCAAATCTAAGCTATCGTAGCGTACCTATCGTTGCACCTGCTGCAAGTGCAGCCTAGAGCAACAAGCTAGGAAGCCTCAGCGCTGAGGCTTCAGAGCTCTGATGATCAGACTCAGATGGGGTTCGGTTCGACTTCGGCCGGCTTACGCAGAATTGAAACATTCGCCCACGACTCGACGACTCCACTTCGGCTCCACTGGGTAGGACCCGGGTCTCGATCATGCAGAGTCATCTGGTCTCAGACCAGCGGGAAGACTGGAAGACGACTACTTCATCGGTCTTCGGCGACCCTTGGCCCGTCTGACAGCATCAGAGCTTGCAGCTGCCGCGCTGGTTGCTGCACCTTCACCTCAAACCACGTCACACATCAGACCAGTCGAGTCACGCGCAATGGAACTTATGTGGCAATCAAGAGGCACCTGTCGACGGAGTGTCCCACATAAGTCAAGGCAAGCGGCCCCAATACCACCAGTAAGCCCGAACCGATTATGCATGACGGAATCTGTAGCTATCGAGCTCAAGCTCTTTTGCCGGGTTGCGCTCTGCTTTCAATCCCCGGATCTTGTTAGCAATGGCCGCGGATTTCTTCCGCCGAGCATCGCTGACATGATCCTGGCACGCGAGATCTGCATCCAGCAGCATGCGGCGCGGCAGAATTCTTGCACCCAGAAGTGCGTCCTCTTCCTGCTCTTCTGATTCCTCCTTCTCCTCTGTGTCGAGGCTACGCCAAGCATCGTAGCGATCCTGAGGGGGCGCTGTACGTAAACAAAATCCTGAAAATTAGCCATCCCGAATACATTGCAAGCCTTGCCCGATGCAAGCAGCAGGCAATCTGGGCGTTGACGATGGCATCTCTAGTTGCAGTTGAATTGGTTTTGGAGGACGGAGGATGTGACCTGATGCGCCCTTCCTTTGATCCTTGCTCTCACCTCTCAACTGAAGCCGAGAAGCTCGCGCAGCGGTCAGGTAGGCAAAGACTCCAGCCTCACGTAGCTTCTCTGCTTCAGAAGGCGCCTGGTCGAGCGCTGCCTCCACCTTAAGTTCGAGACAAGGGGACACTGCCCGCTGCGTCAACCGTGGTGCCGAGCCACCAGTGAAAGGCAAGCGCAGAGGCGTGCCCAGGCCTCGTCCCAACGAGACATCCCGAAAATCTCCTCTGGGAGTCTACAAGTAGCCAGCCTTCTGGAGGTGTGCTTCCACATGATCTTCCGGTAGCCAACTCTGCAAATCTTCCTAACAGCTGCAGGGCAACTCCAAATGACACCCACCACTCCGATCCCCAGCCGAAGCCTGCGATGGCAACCGCGCCCACCATGTTTGAGGATCCGTGCCACGCGCCAAGCTGGAGACCATCATGAGCACTATGGCCACAAGGAGGGCCTTCGCAATGAAGACACCCACAAGGCCAACGACATGACACTTGGGCAGTGCCAGTGCATCAGATATCCAACCCCTCGGCTTAAGTCTCTCGACACACACGGCTCAGGCTCATGGCTCTGCAAATGGCAAAGTCCGAAGAAAAAGCATCAGTGCAACGATCCCTCATGCCAAGTGCACAATACGCACTGTCAGTCACATATACCTCGAACATACATGGACGCAAAGGAGCTAAGCCTTAGCCGGCGAAGACGAGGTGGGTCCAGGTTTGTTGGTGGTGTTTTTTATTGTCTTATTTGGGTATTGTTTATGGTTTTCTGTGCCCGGATTGTAGAAAACCCTGTAAGGGTCACACGGAGGGGCCTGATTTTTGTATTTTTTTGGGTAGTTTTTTTTGGTTTTCTGGGCCTGGCCACAGCCCCAGTAATGTGAGCTCGTGATTATTAAAGGTCCCCTCAATAGAGCTAAACTCGGCCCGGCACACAATAATAAAAGGTCCCCTCAATAGAGCTAAACTCGGCCCGCACACAATAATAAAGACCCCTCAATAGTCCTAAAACCCGTCCCGTCCTAAAATTTTTAAGGTTTAAGTAGAGAAGCACTCCTACTACAAACTGACGCCCTGGAAGAGGAGAGACAGAAACAGGCAAGATAAAGGACAGAGAGATAGCCAGCCAGCCAGACTTAAGGGTTTACAGCTTTGAAGAGCTCCCTGGTCCTGTCAACTGTACTACTGTACTAATGTACTACTGTACTACTGTACTACCCCCGGCCCCCAAACAACTTCGACCCCGGACCCCCCAAACAACTTCAGGTCAGAGATATGCGGACCCCCCGTTAATATTACAGGGACTGGACTTGTTTGGGGGGGGGGGGGGGGGGGGGGTTTAATAATCAGGAGACCACATTATGGACTCTGTTTTTGCTGGCAGAATGATGTTTGAAGCGAGCTTCCGCGGTTTGACGAAGCAGGGACCCCCCTCCCCTCTTTTTGCCTTTGACGGATCCGGAACACTTGAAAATTTCAAGCAAAATTATAAAACGCACCGCCCCCCGGCTTGCAAACGCAATGCAATAGAGGACCGGCGATTCATCACATCTGAAGCACACGCCCTCATTTGGCGATTGGGGCACACCAAAGATATGACTATACCACATATCTTGGACACGCCCCCGTATTTGGTAATTCCGGTTCCCCATATATCTTTAGCACGCTCCCTCGTTCGGCGATAACCGTCCACCATGTCTTAAACATGCCCCCTCTTTTGGTGATATTGGTTCATCAAATATCCTGAACGCGCCCATCATTCGGCGATAACCTTTCACCATATATGTTAAAACACGCCCCCTCTTTTGGTGATAAAAGCTCATCATATGTATGTGTGTATATGTGTGTATATATACATATATGAATATATATGTAACATTTAACGCGCCCCCTCTTTTGGTCTTTACAGCTCATATCAGTTCATCATGTATCTTAAACGCGCCCCCTGATTCGGCGATTCCGGTTCATCATATATCTGAAACACGCCCCTTCGTTTGGCGATTCCGATTCTCCATATATCTTAAACGCGCCCCCTGCTTCGGCTATTCCGGTTCATCATATTCTCTCAAACACGCCCCCCCTCATTTGGCGACTCCGGTACCCCACATCCCCCCTCCTCATTTGGTTATTTCGGTTCATTACATATCTCTTGAACCATGTATCTGAAGAACGCCCCTGATTTGGTAGTTCCGGTTCAACATATCTAAAGCACGCCCACTTATGTGGTAATTCCGGGTCATCCTATATCTTGAACACGCCCCCTCAATTGGCGAGAACGGTTCAACATACATGTTACAAAAGCCCCCTCATTCGGCGATAACGGTTCATGAATGTTCATGATACGGCTTATACAAGCCCCTCATCTGCCGATTCCGGATCACCATATACCATATATCATATATCACATATCATATATCATATATCACATATATATATATATATATATATATATATATATATATATATATGAAGCACGGCCCCCCGCCCTTATTTGATAATTTCGGTTCACCATGTATCAATTCAAGACCCCCTCATTCGGCGAAAACCACTCACGCGGCCCAAACATAAAGCAGGTGGGAGGCGGTTGGGCCCCTAGGACGGGCTGTGAAACGTCTCATTATATGTTACGCGCTTGACTTGCTACGACCAATCGCCAATGGCCAGAAAGCGTTCTTGATGGTACGACGTTTGCTAAAGCGGGGGGGGGGGGGGGGGCAGCCACCATTTGCAAACGCACTTGCAAGAGGTAAGCACCCCCCCTTATTTGGTAATTCCGGGTCAGCCTATAGCTTAAACATATCACCCTCAATTGGCGATAACGGTTCAACATACATGATAAACACGCCCCCTCATTTGGCGATAACGGTTCATGATACGTGTTAAACAACCCCGCTCATTTGGCGATTCCGGTTTACCATATATATATATATATATATATATATATGAAGCACACCCCTTATTTGGCAATTTCGCTTCACCATATACGTCTGTAACACTCCCTCATTCGGCGAAAACCGTTCACCACATATCTTAGCTTCCGCGGCCCAAACATGAAGCGAGGGGGGTTGGGCCCCTGGGACGGGATATGAAAAGTCTCAGAATAACTTTGCGCTTGACTTGCTGCGATCATCGCAAATGGCCCAATAGCGTTCTTGATGGTACGAAGTTCGCTAAAGAAAACAGGGCTAAAGAAAGCGGAGGGGGGAGGGGGGGTCTGGGGGGGCGCGCACCCCCCCCCCCCCCCCCACATTTGCATTTTGCAAACGCACTTGCAAGAGGACCGGCGGTTCATCACATCTAAAGCACGCGCCCTCATTTGTCGATTACGGTTCACCACAGATTATGCAAAAATCTTAGACACACCCCTTTCCGGTTCACCATACATCTTTAACACGGCCCCTCATTCGGCGATGACCGTTCACCATATGTTTTGGTGATGACGGCTCGTCATATCTTCAACACGCCCCCTCATTCGGCGAGTCCCGTTCACCAGATATCTTTAACACGCGCCGGCATTCGGCGATAACCGTTCACCAACAATCTTAAACACGCCCCCTCTTTTGGCGATTCCGTTTCAACATATATCTTTAACACGCCCCCTCTTTTGGTGATAACGGCTCATCATCTATCTTAAACACGCCCCCTGATTCTGCGGTTCCGGTTCATCCTATATCTTAAACGTACCCCATATGGTTGCAGGTGCAACGCCAGATCAACAGCCCGACTGACCAGAGGATTGACGGACTGACAGACTGATTGACAGACAGCCAGACTGATTGACGGCTCGGTTGGCAGACGGACTGACTGGCTGACCGACTCACCACTGCCGCTGGACGACCGACTGACTGACTGACTGACCGCGCGGTTGGCTGACCGACTGACTGACTGACTGACTGGCTGGCTGGCTGGCTGACTGACTGACTCGCGTACCCACCGAACCGCAAAACATAAAAAATACCAAAAAAAAAAAACATAGAAAATACCCAAAAAGAGTCCCCAACCAGCCCGAAGTCAGGCGCGCATACTTCATCGTTTTGGTGATTTGACGTTCATGCTATATGAAGGCCTGGAGAAGCTCGAAGAAGTGGAAGCTGAAGAGCCACCAGCTTGCCATAAAAAGGAAGCAGTTCCAAGCAAGCACCTCAAGCCACTTGCGGATGCACAGAGCAAGGAAAAAGAAGCTGGAAGCTGGCGCTTGGGTCCCCGGCAGCACAGCGCTCCTTGAGTGTCATCGTGGCATCACCGATCAGAACCCAAGTGAGCTTGCGCCTGCGGAAGCCGGAAGCTACATCTTCGAGTTCTTGGGCCTGGGCGGATTCCAGAAGAGACACTTCAAGTGTCAGTGCCACGAGCCTCCAAACGACAAAGGCTTTTCCTGCAGCAGTCATTATGATCGTGCGGACTCTGGGGTCTTCTCATCAATGGTTCCTATCAGGTAGTGAGACCCATGTGCATGTGTCAAGCCCGTTCAGGAAAGCTGCAGGACAAGATTTTGCTGACCAGAACTTCATTCGACATCCACGTTTCCCGTTTTGCAGAGGGCATTCCAGAAAGCGTGGTGTTCGCTGTCTGTGTGTGTGTGTGTGTGTTTTTCTCGCACTGGCGCAGTCGAGGGCTTTGCTTCGTAATAGCTTCCATAAAATGGGGACTTCGATGAAGTCTTTCGAAGTTCGGGAGGGTGCTAGCAAACAGTCGGATACAACTTTCGTGCGAGCCGAGCATCTCAAGCGTTTCCGCTCCTCGGATGCATGCCATGGGCCGATTCACCACTCATGAAAGCTTCCAGCAGCTCAAACAAACATGATTTGCTCGGCAATGAACGAGTCGCATTTCACAAAAGATGCGTGATCGCCGCTGAGCACAACTACTTGTATACAGCAGAACTTTATGCGAGGCACCATAGTGGCGGCATCTTCTCCTCAGGCATCAGAAGTGGGCAAACAATTCAGAAGCCTTCAGCAGTGTGGCGTCCACAAAAACCAGGAGTGCAGAGCAGGCCCCTTCCTGGGAAGTTCACCAGCTCCCTCCAGCGTGGTTCGGTCCGCAGGATTCGCCGCAAAGCTGCAGGGAAATCAAACAAACAAAGGGGCTTGCTTATGCCTCCAATCTGCCTTGATGCTAGCACAGCCGCTTCGAAACCTCAAAAGAATAGCTAAAGCAACTAAAGCTGGTACTATGTTCACTCAGCATCACTCGAGAGAAGCTGGCAGCTGGCCGACTTGCGGCCTGCAGGGATGTTCTTCGTGTACTTCAGCACTTCGTCCTTGATCAGCCTGGAAATCAGGAGACAGAAGCTAGAGCTTAGAGCTTCCAAAGTATCGGCCATCTCAGCTTCCACACGCCAACCCAGCTAAGCGACAGGAGCTGATGCTTCATAAGCCCCTGCCAAAGCTTGTCGAGGCTCTCCTGAGTCATGCGAGGATGGCTACTGGGCTAGGCTTCACTTCATCTTTTGGCTGTCCATCCAGTCCATCCACTTCGCCACTTCCGCTCGCTGCAGCCAGAGGGCCATCTTAACACCACCATACGAGGCATCTGCTGCTTGCAGGACTCTTTGGACTTGCTCCCTGCACAGCATGCAGCCGCACACGTCCTATTGCAGCTGTGCAAACACTAAACGCTGCGGCGACTGAAGCTATGCACTTCCGCTTGACCATGGTGGCCGCTTGGAAAGAATGCAACAGTGTGGCTTGGAATCGCCGTACGAAAAAGAGCAAAAGACTGGCATACCCAACATCCAATTTGCGGTCGTCCCAGCATCTTGCAGGAAGCCTCGAGCGTTTGCTAGGGATGAAGATGGTCAGGTCCAGAGGCGTAGGTCGACAGAACTGTTGCGACGGTGTGACACAGAGCGGCTGGGTCTTCGCGTTGACGTTTACCTTCATCGCTTGATCGAGAAGCAGCCAGGTCTCTAACCATGGCAGGAGTCATGATTGATTTCGTTATTCGCAATCACACGCCCACACAAGTACCAAAAACAACCAGGCAAAACTCGACTAGCCAAGAACGTCCATCATCGAACCACTGCTGCCACTGCATAATTCTCAATCTTGATGGAGCGATGATTTCATGAATCTCCTCCTGCCAAAGTCCGAGCCGCACCCAAGTCGATCCTCAGCAGGAGCTTACACGCAACAAGCTGAAACCAGCAGCAGTGTAATGTGCGTAACGCTGCATACCTGAGCCAATGGATTCATACGGTTCCATTGGAGAAGACTAGCTCCCGAACGGGGGCCCGTGAGACCACTGTCTTCGGTTCCTGTTACCAAAAATATCTTTGGCTTGGTCTTCGTTGGTCTCTTGCAGTCTTCCTGGTGCTTTGATTTTCACATGTCTCCGAATCCAACACCTCGGAGCTAGGCCTTGCTCAACAGACAGTAACCTAGACGGCTCGTAGCCTGAGTCGCCTTGCATGGGGTCAGAGTAGAAGCAGTGATCTCAGGATACCAGCGGCAAGGTCTAGAATGCCCGATAACCTCTGATTCGTCTCAGCCCCGGCCGAAGCGGTCAGAGGTTCCTGTACGGATTCCCTTTATTCCCCACCTCGTATAATTCCAGTGACCCCCCCCCCCCCCCCCGGCACCCCCCCTTTATATGCTGCGGGTTTCTCTCTTATGGGTTGAAGGTTTAAGCTTTAAAGCTTGGGATTTTTTCCCTCCTACCTAGCAAGGACGAAGCCCGCATTGCAGGGAGTCTTGATTGAATAGGTGAAAGAGCTAAGACTTCATAGCTAATTTGCCTCCGTAGCGATAAGCGTCTTGTTGACTTTGTCGCTCAGAGGTCGTCAGGTTCAGACTTCGATGTGTTACACAACGAATCCAGCGCAGCAAGGGAAAAAACCTCGGGTCACTCAAAAGCTTTCGTTCAAGCTTTCTTCTGTCCTTTTCGGAATCTGTACCCATCTGTTGAGCCTCCCCTGGTGTATCTCCAGCATTGCAAAAGATCTCAGATCATAAGAGATACTGCACCAAATTCAGAATTCCTGTTGCAGCAAAATGCCGACTTGAAATCATCATCCTTCTTGTTCAACACATCACGTGCTTTCTGAGTCGCAAGCTGGTGCGCTTCCCACATCAGCGAGTTGAGGCAGTGGGGTTAAGAGTTTCGGGTTTCAGGCCTATGGGCCTTGGTAGGCTTTCGGGTTGCTGCTTTCCGAATCAATGCACCACGGCCGGGCCGACGCCAGCGTTTAAAATTGCCTAAACCTAGATTCAATCCGGGGCTCAGCGCTTGGCAGGCCTTTGCCTTGCCTGCAAAGGCAGCGAAGTGAAGCGGCGAGAAGCCACACACTCCACCTGCAACTCTCTGACTCTTGCCCGTTAACCCACCGTTCCAGTTTTCTAAGCGTGCACCGAACCCGGCTTGAACAGATGCTAAGCACATCAGCCAAGCCTAAGTTGCAACATGCGCCCACCTCTGGACAACTCGTCCCAAATCCTTGGAAGCCGCCGAGGGCACGGAACGAAAGAAAATCCATGAAGCGCTCTCGGACAAGCACCCACTACAGTAGCAAAACGCCCCGCAAGCTGATTTTGCCAGCCGCCTTCTGCTTACATGGCCACTGTTGCCTTAAGCTCCAGTGGTGTTGACAGAGGGTGTGCCCTCGCTTTGCAGGACGATGGCATCGGTAGCCTTTTCCGTCTGAGATGCGACAAAGCGAGGCAGTTGGCTTCGCCTCAGGGAAAGGCCGCATAGGCCTCGCAGGCCTCTCGGGCTTTCGCCAGGAGTGTGTCTTGGGTCCAAGCCGCTTCGAGCATCTGTACGAGTGCTCATCACAACGGATGCCCGGCGGCCCAAAGCTATCAGCCGTTTGGACGAGTCTGCGTGGTGGCTGAGTGCACCCGGAAACGCCACATACCTTTCCTCCGTGCTGCCAGCATCTTCTCCCAGCTGCCCCGTGGCCGTCTGCCCGGTCAACACGTCCCCAAGCCTTGTTTCTGCATCCAGGCACGCTGCACCCGCCACCATGCAACTGGCAGCGATAGCCTGGCGGCCCGTGTCTGTCAGCACGCCTCCGAACTCCACAAGGCCAGCGATTGCAACCCTCTATGATACACCACTTTGTTCCGCCAGAATGGAGCTCACATCTTCTCCCCGGAGGGCCATTGTAGTCTTGAAGTCGGACAACGGTTCTGGCAAAGCGCTTGCATGACGCGACGTTACACCGTCTGGCACCATGCTTGCAACACCTCCAGCCAGCCGGGCCAAACTCGTCCGTCTGCTGTACGCGGCCGGCTGCCAGTGCGTCACAGCCAGCTGCGCTGCATTGCCAAGGCTTCGACCCTCGACGCCACAGTACCAAGTTCACCCATTTCTGGAGCTCCAACCAAGACGGAGGTAACGGTTTCATGCGCTGCCGCACAAGCTCTCGGCACAGCAGCAAGGCTGGCAAAAAGCATGGATTCTGCTTCCTTCGGCGCCGGTCAACATCCTTCTTCAACCCAGACAGGCCCAGGTTGGCTAAGCAGACCAACTTTTCCAGCCAAGGCCACAGGCGCTCCTGCTCCATAGAGCCTGCCACGTCTCGGAGGAAGTGGCTGCAAGATTCTGTCGCACAGATTCCAGCACTGATTTGAACAACAGCCTGATCAAGTTCGTCGGCATTTGCAGCTGCTAGAGCTTCTTGTGTTCTCTGCGCCAGTTTCCTGAAGGCATCGTCCATCTTCCGAGGCTGAGCTCGGAGAAGGCGCTGCCACTGGGCTACCGCGGGTACCATGACGGAGCAAATTTTCGGAGCTTGTGCTGATTGCGCAGACACCGGTTCTTCGCTCATCACGATGCTCGCCGGCTTCCACCCCTGCGCTGTGCTGGGACACGTTGCCAGGAATACAGATTTGGCTCGTCCTGCACCCTCTGCCTCGCGAAGCCCGGGCTTGGTTTCTACCTGGAAGGTGACCCAAGTTACCTCTGACTCATTCTGCAAAGGCTTCTGCAGAGGCTGCAACTCCCGGACGGCGTGCTGGACATCTATGCAGACCTCATGGGCTGCGGCGACGAATGCCACCTCAGACTCCTTCAACTCGCAATTCTCACCCTTTGCGAAGAAACGCGCAAGTCGCAGGCCGTACGGCAAGACCTCAGTGACCCAGCCCAGCACTCTGTCCGGATCCGTTGCACGCACAAGCACCATCCAACTGCTGCCCTGTGGATCTCAAACAGAATCAGAGCAGGTTGAACTTTCTGCCTTGCTCGTCAAACTAGACAAATGTCTAAGAAGGACTTGGTCTGGATGTGTGCGATATGCCCCCATCTGAAATTCCCCTGCTGTGAGCCCAGTGGCAGGCACGTGACATCTGATAAACACAGGCAGGCAACAGCACAAACAAAACAGCGCTGATGCTTCGGGGTAACCTCGCTACTTACCATCCTACAAGTGCCGGCAGCAATGACTGAGCGATGTAGCTAGACAACCAACTAAGCATGAAAATCTCACTCCTTCCAAGTATCTCATCCTCCAGCTGCTGTGCCAGCTGAGTGATTGTCTTCGCGTCGTCGCTGAGGCACGCCTCGACCAGCAGGCACCAGAAGGTGCGCGAAGAGGGCACCTCAGCACTGCGACTGCAACGCCCATCCGCAGCGACCGCAGCGCCTGTCTGGGCCTTTCTCCTCCGCTTGTAACTACATTTGCTAGCCAAGAAGCTGCCAGAAAGGACTCCTGTTCCAAACAATCATCGCAAGCTTAACTGCATTCTACACCCAGCAAGCCTACCACCACTCACGCTCTGCTCACGCTTTTCGACCGAAGCCGGCTCACCCAATTTCTCACATCACATATCCAACGCCAACTCGGTAGTACAGCAAGCTCGGATTCGACCGGCTCTGCCGACGGCACACCTCAACTAATCTCGATCAGAGTGAAAACCTGCCGCTGCATCCAACATGCTCCTGCTCTTCCGTTTGGCCTGTGGACTCGGCGAACGCCTTCCTGCCAAGTCGCTGCTGCATCAGAACGAAACTACTATCGCCATTGCCCCTGCAAGGCAGCACGGCTCATGATGAAGTCGCTGTTCTGGTCATACGCGGATCTTCGCTCAGGATCTGAAAGGACCTGCAGCTTCAGGCACTTCCCAACAGTGACATCAGGTTCTTGGAGACATGAGGCATCGTGCGAGCCGTTAGCGAGCACCCGCCAAACAGACAAGGACAGTTGCAATCGAAGCTCACGGTGCCGCTTTGTGAAACAAAGCTCATCATCATGTCATGATATTTGCAAGTCTACGGTGGCCTCATAGGCTTCCTGCAGTTCCTGGAACTTCTCTGTGGCCTGTGGGTCGTTCTGGTTCTTGTCCTGCTGGCAGCAGGACAAGTGCGGACAAGCTGGAAGGACTCGATGTGGTGTAGCATCACTGAACAGACCAGGCTTCTTGCAGAACTACTAAACCCTTTTTTTTGAACCCAGACTCTGCTGATCAGCTGGGAAACTACTAAAACCCTAAACCCTAAACCCTAACTTCCCACCCAGGCTTGCTTAGGCCGTACCCACCCTTTTCTTAGGGTGCCTGGACCCAGAATATATCCGGCAGTGATTGACGCCATTTTTTGGGATGGACAATGGGTGGAGCCGTTGGAGAGTGGTCAGTCAAAGTCAGCCCCTAGGGCTGAGCCATGCCACTGGGCCACCTAGGTGGCACCCATACTTCCACAACAAGGGAATTCATGAAAGCCGGCCGGCATTCCCTTTGCCCCCCCTAGAAACAGGGCCCAGGCCAGATTTCAGGGACCCGCAAAGCTCCAACCTCCCCCTGGCCCCCTGGCCTCTGGCTGACCCGTCCTGGCCTCTGGCCCCGTGGCCCCCCCCTGGCCCCTCCTGGCCCCCTGAGGCTGGCCAGAAATTTTGGAGCAGCAGACAACCAAATCAGAGGTGCTAGAAGGTAATATTTTGGGTGGTAGCCTGTGTAAGCTCACAGCGGGCAGGAAAGAAACAGAAACCAATTTGTAATTGTTTGGTGGTGGAATCGCATTCCAATGCTAGACCTAGATATGCCGCCCCCCCCCCCCCACACGCCTGGGAGTGTTGGGGCGCCATCCTACATAGAAAATACTGCCGCTGCGCGGCGAGACGCCCAAACCCTAAACCGCTTTAGGGTTTTTCCCTCCTACCGGTTTAGGGTTTAGGGTTTTGGGTTTAGGCCCCACCCCTGCATTGTTTCTTACTTTTTCATCATGAAACCTACGTTTGATATAGCTTACAGGGAAGGTTTAGAGCCCATGATTGCTGGAAACAAGAAGACACATCTACATGGAACACATGATGGCCAAGTCACTGGGTGCAGCTTCAAAGCCTAGGCCGACGAGTGCGATCGCTTGGCAAGACTGGCAAAGACTGGGTGCCTGGCCAGTTTCCGATACCTTGCGGGATCGAACGGTCCAGTCGCTGAACCCCACTCAAGCAATTTTCCGGCAATCAACTATCATTAACTCTCATTAAATCGTGCTGTAGGTCTGCCTGCGGAGCTAACGACGCCTCGACAAAATGATGGGAAGGTAGACCTGTTAAGGCCTGTCTATTTCCGGAAACTCAGCTACACGCGAATCTGAAGAGTCGAAGCTTCGTCGACTTGGTCTCCGAGACACTGCAACTTGATGTCATCGGAGCTGGCGTCTGGAGCTACACCCAGAATCCTTGGGCGTCGATGGTAGCTGTTTAGGAAACTTTTCAATGCAACCGCCCTTTCGCCTAAACACCCATGAGTTGCTTCTCGGCTCAGACATCCGCATGGCACGAGAAGGAAACGACAAGTCTGGCAACATCTTGGCAAGGAGCTGGTAGTAGGTGCCTCCACTGACGGCCTCCGCAATCGGCGCCTGGCGGGCATGTGACATGGGGCTCGATGTGGGCTCCAGGCTTTCATGACCCGGGCACGTCGGAAGTGGCGGCCATGTGGAGATGAATACACGTGGACTCTCACGGTCTAGCAGACGGAGCCCGACCTCATCCGCCATCAGCGCCGGGCAGGGCCGGAATAGCTTTGTGTTGCAGGGCGAGCAGTCGATGCACTGGGCTCTGGGTGCTTGCAAAATACATGAGGCATACACTGCTACAAGATCCGACTGGGTGAAAGTGCTTTGAAGGCTTCCGGCGAGGAGGCTAGAGGCTAGAGCTGATTGAATGTGTCCGCAGTTGCAACGCCTGCATTCACTGACTGCTACATGCCAACGTGGAGGCTGTCACATAAACTGTGTTGACATGTGGTCAGATGGCTGCAACAACAGTCAGAAAATCGACAGACGCACATGAGTCTGCATACCGGGGGTTTTGCAAATCAGGTGTCGCCTGCAATGACTGCATGTTATGAGTGTTCGCATATACTCCGGTCATCAACACATCCGTGATAGCACGGAACGACAGGCTGAAGCGCAATCCGTCAGGCTCTGCCTCTTGGGATGCCAGGCTTTCTGCAGCCTGGCCAGGAGCACGTGTTCATCGCAACATGCTCGGCTTACAGACCAATCCGCAGCGTCTCCGAAGCCACGGCGGGCGGCCTGGAAGTCAGCCTCCACTGAGCGCTCCACACCTTCCACCGCACGCTCAAGGATGCGAAGATCCTGGTCACGAAACGGTTTGGGAACACCAGGCGGCACTGTTCTGCTAGCTTCCGCACACGAGCGGTACGAAGCAGCACTTCCAATGCATGTTTTCGAGGCACATGCCTTGTTCAGCAGGCCGAGATCTTCCGCGACCACTGCATCTGCTGGCTTTGCCTCCATCAAGGACTGGCCTGCACGCACGGTGGGGCAGAGTCGCGATTCACTCCGAATCTTCACTGCCGCCCTAAAGGTCGAAGACATCAAACCCGAAAATCGAGCGGATTTCCGGATCCCGCTGAATCTGCTTTGGTAGCCTTCCACCTCCAACGCAGGAACCGCAACTGACGCGCTGATCCTGAGAGCTTCGCGGAACAGTCGTGCTAGGTACTACGCAAAACTATGGGGAAATGATCTATCGAACGGATGCTTCGGAAAGTGGTCCATCAACCACCGTGACCTCTACATTCTCTCCTCCTTCCGCCTTTACTTTTGAAGCCACCTTCCTGAAGTGGCAAAAACCGCGCGAAACAGAAACAAATAGACAGACGTCTTCACTTAACACCAGGAAAACTACACACAAGCTGCGACATATGGAGGCTGCAGTTCAACCTTCGCCTTTAGGGAGTGCCCAGACGAGAGAATTCGAATCGTGATTCGTGATAGCCGTCTTGCCGAGTACTCATTCACATCATGGTTTCACGTTATCGCCTGCAGTTTATAGCTACTCGCAGAACCCCCAACTGCTTTAAGTGCGGCATGGTCGCTCCACTAAGCTGTCTGCAATGCCGAGGGCCTTGCAGCGACAGAGAACCGACCGAGGCACAGCCAAGCTGACAGCCAAATGCTGAGCGAGGTGCCATGGCCGAAAGAAGTCCGCCGGCAACGGGACCTTTGCTCTGCACGGCTGTGCCCTATGATAGATCTCGGAATGATCGAAGTTCAACCGGCAGTCTGTTTGCGCTCGCGCCTTCGGAGCTCAGCCTCAGCACTCACAAGGAGCTGCGATGGCTTCCGAAGTCTAATTTCGTCTCACGTGACTTGTCCCCAAAACTACCATGAAAGCTGAGGCCCGGGACTCAGCTCGTGCCAGCGCATCCTCGTCACTCAGCTCCTGACCGGACCCTCCTCACTCCTCATCGTCCTAATCAAAGGAGGAGGGAGGTTGCGGAATGGTGCAGATAGGGCAACGGGAAAACGGACACTCAGACCCAGACTCGCAGACACTGAGAACTTGTGCCCTGAATCAGAAAACGTAATCCCAAAACCCCAGCATCCTAAAGGATCTGTGTAAGTGTCTGAGTTTTGGATCCGCAGATCAACCCCCGCCCCCCCGGCTTAAGAGGGGCAAAGGCACCTTTGTGCCTTGTCGCTTTCTTTCTGGTGTCCCGGAGAAGCGGAACCCGATCTCCCTCCCTCCCTCCCCAAGTTGAAGACTGAACTTTGCCTCTCCAGCCGGATATCGCACCTGATTGGCTTGCAAACAAATCAACTTGAACATTGTTCGGCACGGGCAGACAGGAAGAATTGCAGCTGCGCTGCAGGAATGCCACGGACAAGCAGCTCGTTTCGGAGGTCTTCAACCTGGCGCAGAATAGGGTCTCCGCATGAAAAACATGAGTTTATGCTGCCACGGTTGCCTCGCTGTCTTCCACAACGGCCACCAACTCTCCTGTGGATAGAGAAGCACGGGCAGATTGGGGTAGATAAGGATAGATAAAGTGAAGCAAGCCTCCCTGCTTAGATCTGCCCTGTGTTGAGATGGCAAGTCTTGAATCAGCTGCCTTCGACTCGAGCGAGAAGCTGCTTCTCACTCCAAGAAGAAATGATGACCTGGCTAAGAAGGATGCGATGGGAAGAGAATGTCATGGCCCGAACGTAGGGCCTCAGAGACCTTGGAGTCGTCAACCAGGCGCCAGAACTCTTCCTCCGTCATGTTTCCTGACTGTCCGGTAGCTGCGGGGCTCGTGGGGTTGATTGCCGGGAGGGACCCGGCTGTGCCTCTCATTGATTTCACTTCAAGTCAAGCGACCGGCCGACTCAGCCTGCGTCTGCAAGTCCTCAACTAACGACGCATCACATGCGACTTCCCGCAATAGGCCAGTGCGCATCCGACCTGCCTCGAGCGCAGGTGCCTCGGCCACTGCGCCGAATCGGCGGATGTCCTGAGTCCGAATCCAATGTCTTCAAGGATCGGCGGACGCTCAGCAGCTGTGGAAGCAGACGCTCCGGTGGTTGCGACGCCAAGCATCTGTCGTCGTCGGGTTGCCGACCTGCTTCAGTCTTTGCGGCCCACATACCTCACGCAGGCCCTACTCCACGCAAGCCAGGCTTCAGCATTTTCAGCCGAACCTCCGTCAAAGAAGGCCCAGTATCAAGATTGTCGAACTGCTGACTACACCAGAAGCCTGGTAAAGAACATCACCGACTACAAGCCTTGACACGAACAGCCTAATCGACAAAACTGCTGCCCAGTCACGAAGCAGAAGGTGCTCAAAGAACCGATGAGAAGTGCAAGAAAGGCAAAAGACGAGCCTCGAATAAATTGCAATTGCAGACCGTGCACACATGCCTCCGATGCTGCAGCATCTGCTACTCTAGACCCTCAGTCTTCCAACGGCCTTGACGACGACCCAGCCGCGGCATGGCAACAAATTAGCAAATTCCCGTCTTGTCTCCAACAGAGCCTGTTTTCAAGATTGACAGGGTGCGTCCTGCCTCCTAATTGCCAAAGATGGCCACACTCCCGAGTGATACGCTGCATCTGAAACTGCTGGCGAGATTGTCCACAGAACGTCTCAATCTCAGGGGTGTCTTACAGAGCCCAAGAAGCGAAGGCCGGTCTTTACCTTTAGATCCGTTCAAACACGAGACGAACAGTAGCTGGTCTACCGACCAAGAAACTGTGCATGCTTTCCATGGACATTCCAAGAAGGTGTGGATGCAATGGCATCACAAGGACGGCGGAGGTATCAATAAACAGTACCGTGATGCGCCAAAACTGCCTGTGCAGCAGCAAACTCCTTCGTTCTCTCCCTGCAGATTCAAGCCTTGTTTTGGTGGATGTGCAGATGCCGCAGAGCTTCGTGGACTGAAAAAGGAGCCTCGACCTCTGTTCCGTCTCCCACAATCCTAGCCTGGGTTCAAGCACGGGACTTCCCCTCCGTTGATTAGCACGCCCCTCCAAGGGCATTAGCCTGCTGTTCTGTGCAGCTTGCTGGTGTCTAGCCACCCTTTTGGCATCCTGACACGGCTTTTTCGCGTGCCGCAGAGCCACCGAAGCGCCGGAGCCTCAGGCTAAAGTCTTGGCGAAGTCCTTGTTATCCAGCATCTTGCTGTACTGGCTTTTGTCCAGCTTGCTCTTCGCCTGCCCACCCCAGGAAAAAAGTTGAAGGGCCAGACTTCGAATGGCTGTCTGGATCGAGAGCTTGAACCTTTACGTAGACCTGGACCTTTGCATGCATACCGCGTACACTCTATTTATGTGTATGTAAATATATATATATATATATATATATATATATATATATATATTTATTTATTTATTTATTTATATTTATTTATTTATATTTATACATATGTGTGCGTGTGCATGCATGCATGCACGTAGGTATGTATGTATGTATGTATGTGACATATCTGTATATAGGTGATTACATATATATATATATGTATATATATATATACACGTATATATGAAGATATGTCATATAGGTGTGTATATATATATATGAACGTTTAAAGGTCTATGTACAGCCTCTAGTGGTTATTCTGGGTGTAAAAAGAGCAACATCATTCTGATAGTTACAACGCTTGAACAAGGCATCTTAATTCATTTGTCCCACTATTGGGGCCCGGAACATTTTAAAGTAATTGAACCCCACCCGATTCGGGGGCTTGATTGTTGAAAAATGACTAAATCCCTGCCTCCAGCTCTTTGGAGGCGCTTGCACTTCTAGTTGAAGTACTTGAAATGGGGCAGCTTTCAATTGTTTCAATTATTCGGGGCCTCGCATTTTTGCTCAAGTTGAAACAATTGAATTCCACCGGAACGATCTTTTCACTCACTTTTCAAACATGTGAAAGAAGCATTAAAAGAACAACCCCTTTTGGAAAGGTCGGGGAACCATTTCAATTAGTTGGCAGGCCCGGTTCTGGAACCTATCGAAATGCCTGCCTTCCGTTCGTTAGAGGCCCTTCCACCCGGTTTCAGATAATTTAAATCGGGCCGATTTCAAGCATCTAATTTATTGGGGCCCCCAATTTATTTCAAGCAATTGACATCCCACCGATTTCGATTTTTCAGCTCATTCAATTATTGGCACGAGTGGAGAGAATCACCTCCACGGGATGAGTATAGAGCCAGATTCAACTGGTTCTGCTTTGGGCCCCCAATGTTTCAAAAATTGACAGGGGCCAGCATCATGAGCATCAGCCGGGTTTGGCCGCCCGCAGGAGCGTGCATCATGAGCATCTCTACCGGAGATGGGCCCCATTTCGCTTATTTCAATAATTTGGACCTGCCACTGGAAATAGCCGAACAAGTTCAACTCCTTTTTCAACTGCCGCAAACGAAATCTTTATCACCATCATCACCATCAGCAACGACATCATCATCGTCATCATCATCACCATCATCATATTCCCTATCGTCAGTTTTTCTTTGTCATCTCCGTCATCTTTATCATCTCTATCATCTTTGCCTCTATCATATATCATCCTTATCATCTGCATCATCATTATCATCCTAACAGTTTGATCACCTTTATCATCCCTATCATCTTCACTAGAGATTGCGATTGAAGGTTTCACGAGATTCACGAGCATCAACACCAGAAGAGATCGACGGGGACTGTGCTTGCGACTGGAGGGCTACAAGAGGTTCATCACCAGAAAAGATGGAAGGACCCCGCTTCCGATTGATGGCTCCAAGAAGACCATCACCAACAGAAATTAGGGAGACACTGCTTGCGATTGATGGCTTCAAGAACATGAACACCTGGAGAGATGAGGGGAACGCTGCTGGCGACTGAGGTTTTAACGAGCGTCATCACCACCAGAGATGGGGGAGACACTGCTTACGGCTTCACCACCCTATGCCCCTCGTATCCCCTCGTCGTCATTCCCCCCCCCCCTTCCCCTCTGTCGCTTTGATCTTTATGACCTAATTGCCTCCCCATCCTCCCATGAAACATAACTAAACTCTTCATCTTCGAACTTTCTCGTTTCGTCTTCATACTCATCACAATCATATTTGCCATCATGCATTTTTGCGCTTGTGGCTCAGGCTGTTGTTGTTGACCGTGGTGTTGTTGTCGTCGTCGTTGTCGTCGTCGATGTTGCTGGAGTTGCCGTTGTCGTTATCGTCGTTGTTGTTACTTCCGTTGTAGTTGCACTTGTAGTTTTACGTAGTTGTAGCTGTTGTGGCTGATGTAGTTGTTGTTGATGTTGCTGTTAAGGCTGCTGCTGCTGCTGCTGCTGCTGCTGCTGCTGCTGCTGCTGCTGCTGCTGCCGCTGCTGCTGCTGCTGCTGCAAACTTGTTTGTAGTTGTTGTAGTTGTTGTTGGTGGTGGTGTTGTTGCTGTTTGTTGCTGTTGTTGGTGGTGGCGATGGTCACGAAGGGAAAGACAAAGCTTAACTGACACAGAAACATAGACTGCAGCAAAATGAAGGGAGACACTGCTTGCGATTGGCGGTTCCAACAGCGTTGACACCGGAAGAGACGAGGGGACAGTGCTGCCGACTTACGGTTTCAAGCGGATCATCACCAGAAGGGACGAGTGGCACACTGCTTGCGATTGACCATTTCATCACCTCATCACCTTTTTTTGAACCCAGACTCTGCCGATCAGCTGGGAAGCACTGCAAGACTTTAAATCTGCAGCACAAAGGTGACCTTCTCATCACTACAGGCCTGCAAACTTCACCGCGTAATCACCTTATCGCCTTAGTCATCATACCCCCTCCCCGCCGTCTAATCTTTATGATCTCCCGAAACCTCCCCATCCTCCCCCGAAAATATAATTCAGCTCTGCATCTCCGAACCCTCGCGTATCATCTTCATCGTCTTAATCGACTCTTTCTACCGTTGTTATTGTTGCTGCTGTTATTGTCGATCCCAGTGCTTGCAAATGAGCTCTGGGTGTACAGCTGTAGCTGGAAAGCTGGAAACATTCAAGCACTAAAGACAAACTCTTAGTAGTTTCGCTTCCGTTTGTGCTAATTACTTTGATCAGCATTCTCGACAATAGCCAGGTTGCTTTGTCCCATTATGGATACTATGTTTTTTGCGCAGCATTCCCCTAATATCCTGGTTGCTTTGTTCTTAAAGAATACTATTCTTCGCGTGCGTACTGTTGCTCATACTGCTTGACTAATTTTGTTCATGACTTGTGGCTTATTTGTTCATGAGTTAATACGATCACGACTACACTTACTACAACTATCAGTACTATGAGGATGATGATTGAGCATTGCACTGGTTGAGGGTGTTGTTGTCGTTCCTGCTACTGTTGCCTTGTCGGCCACGGGTCTCATCACAGACGGGGCATCTCGTGACATCGAATTTCGCTAAGCTCCTTGTATTTGAAGCTATAACGAAACGGTGGCTGAACAGACCCGAAAAGTCCCTGGCAATCCCGGGATCACATGTTTTTACGTATCTGTGTGTGTGCTGTGTCTGTGTCTCTGTCTGCGTCTCTATGCCTAGGTCGCAAAATGTCAAATGCCAGGCGGCCATTTCCGGGGCACTTGTCATATCCTTGGTTGCCAACGAAGCAGCCGGCTCGTTATGAATTCTCCACAGGAGACTGCGCACCATCGGTTGCAAACAATAACTTGCGCGGTGCGCGCACAAGTTCGAGTGCACGCTTGGACCAAGACAATGATGCCTGCAAAAGTCTAGAGTCTAAAGGCCGACGACACAGCAGTTCAAAAACGACGGATTGTATTCAGGGTTTCAAGGCACCCCCCATTGCAGAAGCTTGATGCGATTGATGCACCTGGATTGTATGCCCGGTTCTGCAGAGCTGGTAGCCAGCGAGGCTCAAAGTGGCAAAGCCCATCGTCACACAAAGGCTGATTCACAGCTGCCTTTATACCTCGCAGCCTGCCGAACTCCGTGAACAGACTGCCACTGTGCCTGCTGCGAGGACTGCTACAGCCATTCCGTGCTGAGTGGCTTTGGGTGGCTCGAATTTCTGCAGCTCTTTCAGCTTGTCCATCTCGTGAGGGACCTATCAGTTTCTTGGCCACGTTGAGCTCGCTGCCCTACGAAACTTCGACTTGGCCGGCCTTTCCACGATCCACTTGCGTGGCCAGTCCCTGGCCCGATCATTTGTGAAACTTGCGGCCGGCATCCGAAAATCCAGATGTGGACTGCTCGAAAGAAGCGTTGAGGCAAAGCATTGCCCACGCAGGAAGCCACGAAGTTCATACAATGCTTGGCTCTGGCAAAACCCTGGAGTTCGCCTCAGGTCCGCCCACTCGACCCGTCATCCTGGCCGTGGCGGCCGCTTCCCTTGCTCCTGGTGCCACGAGATGGCGGCTTGATGCAATTCCCCCTGCGCCTGCGTTTGGACACAACATGTCTGCCGCCATGGCTGTGCGGGTGCCTTTGACCGCAGTGAAGTAGGCTGGCGCAGGGAGGCACGATCAGCAAAAGATGGACAAGCAGAAAGCGCCACAACCAAGTGAGTGGGCCTTGGTCCGTGAGAGAAAGGGGGGCATGCATTTCGAAGGAGTACCTCCGCACAAGCATCGTTGCATCCGAACCTGAGAACTGCCTGAAACTTTCGACTCGCGGGGACAGTTGCCATCCCGAACCATCAGATCTCTTCGGTCACGTATTGTCCAGCTGGTTGACCCCGTACTGTGTGAAGAGCATCTGAGCATGGCCAGCAGTGGCTAGCAGGCTAGCATGGCATCATGCCTCCGCATGTTGTCGGGGGTTGGCGAGCATTCGCTGGCAAGGTCGGGAGATGATCGACTCAAACTAGTCGTCTTCCTGAACCCTACCGGCTACCACGACTACATCGAAGGTACTGAAAGCTCCACTGGACGCCGGATGCTCTGGGCCTCTCCGACCAAGGGCTGCTCAGGCGAATCACGCGAACTAAGGTTGCTGACTGTGAGAAGATACCTGGCAAACGGCATCCGGTTTGGTCACATTGGCGACTCGGCGAAAATAGTTGCAACAAGCATCATCCAGAAATATGAGAGGCTGCCGGCTAGTATCTGCCAAACATCGCATGCCAGAAGCTAGGTGATGTAGCGGCAGCTACTCTGGACAGATATTGGGGCACTTGTGGGACATGCCATCATTCCTTTGCTAGCACCAATGACTCCAGAGTGATTGAACATAAAGAACGCAGCTGTGAGAGATATCCACTTGTGTACTGCCTGAGAGACCAGCGGACCCGGGCACCAATCTGGTGCGAAGAAGGGATGTTCACCGCCTACCGGTTCCTCCTTCAACGCTGCGGCCATTGCGGTCTTTGCCAAAGTGTGTCTCACGGCTGGGGTCACCACATCCTCGCACAAATGCCACCCGTCTTCTGGGCATGTCGATTCCTCGAGAACTCAGCACCAGGGACCAGGATCACAAAAAAGAGCGGCCCAAGGTGCTCCCTGGTGCACAGGTGCCGTTGGTCCTCCGTCGCATTCCGCGCTTTCCAGGCGGCCTCCGCTCTGAGCTCTGTCTGCTTAGGCCTAGGCCTGGGAAGAACATGCTCAACATGCTCCCGGTCTAAACTTCGTGCACGGCTCTTTGAAAACTGGCTTCTGAGCAGTACGTGTCACTGGCCGCCTTGCCCAGGTCGTAAATCGCGTCCCACCTCCTAAGTTCTCCACTTCGCTGATTCGGAGGACAAGGGCTCTATTGTGCTTTGAGCACCGCGCAATTCACCGGTGGTCAAGTCCTGGAGACGCACTCCAATTCGTGACACCGGCGAATTGAACCTCCCAAGATTACTCGAGTCTTCAGCGGAGCTTCGGATATACCGAGATTTCTTTCGAAGCATGATATGGCTGAGCGGCTGAGGTCCGCGCTCTATCCGCGGATGTATCCACCATTTCTTTATGTGCTCCTTTCAGACCATCCAGGGGCCATCTGCACAAATTTCCATTCGGCTAGTCAGTAAATGCTTAGTACCACCTCAGCAAGCGCCTACTCCTCCAGTGTGTGTGTGTGTGTGTGTGTGTGTGTGCTGCGAAGTTGGCCCCAGCCCAGCGGGTTTTGCAACAGTAGTCAGTAGTAGCAGCTGAGCTGGCCAATGTCGGCCAGCACCAAAGCAAAGTTTGCAGCGGGCAAGGTCTTGTGCATTCCCTTCCCTTCTGTGCATAAGTGGAAAGCACTTATCCAGGAAGCGCTCGAAAGGTTCCAAAGCTGGGAGTTGGGCCATGATAAGTCTAGTCCCCTACTTCTACCCCCAACTACCCCCACAAACTAACAAGCTTGTGCGGAGGCAGGCCTTCTGCATGCCGACTGCACTTCTGACAACGTGGGAAATGTAGCTGGTGATGCCTGCCGTGGGAGTTTCAACATGCGATGCGTATGGCGTATGCCTCTCTGCATCCCATTAGCCTGACATCATGCGGTGGAGGGAGAAGCAGCAAGTAGTGCAGACCGACAACAGAATGGGAAATACACTCTGAACTGGGCCTTCAGTGTCCTGGAACCCACGAACTTGAAAGCATCCGTACCTGAAAGTGACGACAAACCAGTCGCCCGCCCTCCTCCCTCCCGCTACACATGGTGGGATTGAGCGCCAAGCTTCTCCAAGTCGAACAAATCGGTGCTCACAATTGTTGGTGTTTTGTACACCATCATGAATCTGGCACGAGCAATCAGCGCAAGCAATGCTTTCACTTTCACCATATAAGCCGCAAACCTAGGTGGCTTGAGTGGCTTGAGTGTCATCACAACTGGAAGCGCCCAGAACGAAAGCTCCAGAATGCTATGGGTCGTTGCCCTCCTGTCAGACTTGCATCACCAAATCCTCAGATGGGCTTCGGAAAAAGACTTGTGGCAGCAGCGCTTCGCACCGCGATCGAGGAAGTAGTTGTGCCTAAACAGCTGCAGCAGCCAAAAGACACGCGAAGTTGTGTCCGGCCGTGACAGCCTCCGTCTGCCGTTCAAATACAGGGCCCCGGCTGCTTCCTCCACGTCCACGGGGAGAATTTATCCGGGTCCTGAATCACGAGGATGCTGCTTCCTCAAGCTGCAACTTGGAAGTGAAGGCCCCGGGTCCTTGAACCACACTGGCGTTTCTGTCTCCTGCTCAGGGCGGAGCTTGCGTATAGTTGTAGTTCACTCGTTTCATCTCGTTTCCACTCGCACTCTTGGATGGAAGAAATGGTTGCCACTTCAATGAAGACGCACTCCCACAAACAAGATGTTCATGACCTGGAGCTTCGAAAAAGCCGTGAGGAGCCCACACTGTTTCCCGTCTGCCAATTCTGCCACCCTTTCAGCTGCTTGACTTCGAGCGCATGCTGCGGCACCAAGCCAAAAACTTGAACACTCTAAATCAGCACCTTCGTACTGCTGCAGGAAAGCCGCACAGGGAGGGAAAGGCGAAGCAAATGTTCTGAGTCTCGCACTCGGGAACAGACTGGGAAAAGCATAATCGATTCCCCTCCCCTTCTGGACCATAGCAAGAGTTGCTGGATTGCAGGACGATTGCTTAGGTCACTTCCAACCTAAATCGACCGCCCGGTTTGCTAATTCGAGATGTGCTTCGGAAGACGGAAGTGTGCACATGTAGAAGGTGCTTGCCCTTGCGGCTGCATCCCCCAAAACTATCAGAAGGGAGACACGACCCCAGCGGCGTCGATGATGCGGGGATTTGCCATGGGAGGGAGCTTCGCTGTCGTCTCCAGGCGCTTCTCAGCCCCGGGTCCGAGGAGCATCGGCAAAATGATCTCCACCTGTGGATCGTGTCGCTTCATCGGCCCCTCCACCACCTCAGATCTGAGATCGCTACAGCCCTGAAGCTGAAGGCACAAGTTCCAAGAACATGTTACAGTACGGGCAGGCAACTATTAAAGAATCAAGGTCTGTCCCAGACACTGGATACGTGTGGGTCATGCCCTTGCGCACGTCGAGTACTGCTTTCTTGGCGCCGGCGTCCTTTAGAGCACCAGCGAAATGCACGGAAGACCAGACCGGGACAGCCTTGTCCTGGTTCAGCCGTAGCGTAAGGACTCAACACATCTCAACACCATGCGCTAGTTTTTCGTTCGCGAAGTAACAAGAACCGTTACAGCTGCTACAAGCAAGTCCGAGAGTCTCGGTCGCCGTGGAAGAGGTGGATTGGAGGCAAGAGGTTTACCGCTTTGTCACCCAAAGCCTTCCAGTCCTCCTGCTGCAGCAAGGCTTCCGGTGAACATCCCAGGAGGTCACCACCCGTCATGTGGTTCATGATGCCTGGATACAAGCCGCGAGATGCCAGGTGAGGTCCGAGCTTCTGCAGATGGTAAGGTCCTGAAATTCCCAAGAACCCTTTCAAGTCCTTCACCGACCAATTGTCAGCCTCATCCTTCCCACCTTTGGCCAGGTGCTTTGCCTCAAGCAATGAATGTTCCAAGAGGAGCATGGCAGCCAGGTGGGCACCGGCACTTTGTCCCATCAGTAGGACCTGAGACGTGTCGCCACCATAGCGCTCAATGTTCTGGAACACCCACCGCACGCCCCGGCTGACATCTTCGACCTTAGAAGAAAAAGCCCTGAAGATCTAGCAGTAGCAGCCACGTACCATGCGCGGGTGGCGATACCCCCGTTTCCGCTGCACATCCGCTTTCCCGGCCCTGAGTGGTGTTGTTGCCTTTTGTTGCCAGCCCTATGCCCGTCCCAGTTTGCTTCCAAGCAGTTGACATTTGACGGGCTCCACTCATCCCGCTTTCCCCCCGGATCTTGTCAGCAATTTTGTGCTGGGGGCTAGGCCCTGAGCTGCAAACTGCTCTGCTAAGTCGCTAAGCTCTTCAAGATTTCGAGGGGCACAGCTGCTCGCTGTGCGGCTAAAGCAGCTTCAATCTATAGCAAGTAACTTATTCAAGGTACTCCTTATCCTTACTCTCTGCAAAGCGTCCATATCTGGAATGGATCCTCGAGGGAAATTCCGGTAGTCGATGCCCACGGTAATGATGCCAAAATCCATCAGCCGCAGCCCCAGCTGAGCATTGTAGCCGCGATGGCCGATAATGAAGGCACCGCCCATGATGGCCACGACCACCGGGACTTTGGCACCTTCCTTCGTGGCCTCCTTGGGCACATAGATGTCAAGGTACTCGCGCTCTGCCGGTCCGAAGCGGATGCGCCGATGGATTCGAGTATCGTGATAATACGTCAGCATAATCCGCACAAAAGCAGGCAGCAACATTATGGCATAGACGCAAAGGCGAAAGCCTAGCCAGCATGCAGCAAAGCCGAACTGGAACCACCTGACGCTCCTCACTGCCAGATCGATGCCATACACCAGGAAGTTAAAATGATCTGTAATTACTGGGTAGTTGTTGTACCCCCAATTCTCAAGATCATCATGCAGATCTTTGACTTTCGACTTCAGCGATGGCACCCCTTCGACCTTTGACTCCTTGATCGGCGAGGTTTCGCGCATAAGCTCTGGCATCTGGGTGCCCTGAATGGCAGTAGGAGTGTACATCAAAAGCTCATCTGACTCCTGCGAGACACTTCGCAATCTGTGCTGTAGGACTCCGTGGAGGTCCGGCTTCAAGGGGATCGCATCCGGGCCTGGCCCGCTGGCCTCCGTTGACATGGAACCTCGATGACGTATCTCCATGGGAGAGCGCTGCACAGGCAGCCGGTTGAGGGCTGCCAGCACTTGCTGCACTGACACCGAATGTGGGATCCTCACTCGTGCATCTGTGTTGGTGTTGTGGTTGCAAGAAATGACACGTAAACCACGTACATAATGATAGATCACGATTCAGACCTTCTCGTCGCCGTTCGAGACTTGCTCTGACTCTGAACTGCATGCTGCGGCCAGCTCACGGCGCACTTTCGTAGGGCATGCCATAAGAAAGCAATACAGAATGGCATACATGCGCCGTACATGTGAGTTACATATGGCACCTTGAAGCTCGTGAGAAAATCTCCGGATCGGTGTCGTCCTGTCGATCGAAAGCCTTCACAGAGGTGCGTGTGCATCAAGTTCAACGTTCCAGACACCCCGCCTGCTGATTCAGGCGACAGTGAGCAGGCTTCTTCGAGGAATGCCTGAGTCAGCTGCGAGAATCGCATCCGATTCTCTAAAGCTGAACCATCAGGCCCCCACAGACGCGGAGGCAGCAAGTTTCGGCATCAGCTGCCAGCAAGCACGGGCAAAACACAGACGCGAACAAAGCAGAAGGCTGTCAGGTCCATGTCAATCCGGATGACGTGGCCTGATTACCCTTTCGTCACAAGCACAGTGACAAGCCGAAAGGCGCCTGGGCTCCGCTGCGAGGGTCAGCGTGGAGGCGACGGCGGCATCTGCCGCCATCCGCATGATGGCGTCATGGCTCCGGCCTCCCTAGCAGAGATCGCGTGTCAACGGATCCTCACTCCGACCATCAATGAACGCTCGAGACGACCTGCCTTTCCTGAACCCCACCAAGTCACTCGCTCGAGCCGCAGGCGATCGGCGATCGCCGTCACTTGGCCGTCATACGCAACACCGGCCATGTCCCACAAGACTCGGTAGGGGGTAGGAGGAGAAGCTGGCGCGATGCAGTTGTTTTGAGAGGGGCGCTAGTTGCACCAGTGTCCCAAGTACTGAGTGCAAACCATGGCCTCGGCCCTCGAGAGTCCAGCGGCGTGGTGCACACTCTTTGGGCCCTTGGGCTCTTCTTGCAAAGCGCTCTAGACTACGATTCCCTCAGCAGCTTCATGGCCGTTCATCCTGGCAAGTTGGGCTCAAGATGCTGGTGCTATGAAGGACTGCCTGGCCAGCTCCAAAAAGCCTTCCACAACGTACGCAACACAAGCATCTAGCAGCAGAACATCTAAGGTTCCCCACATCTGCCCATGGCATGTCCTGACACTTGTGCACGACTCGTACTTGCAGCTGGGGTCATCCGGCACTGGCCTCGGCATTGGGTTATGGATGGTATGGCATGGTGCGGTATAGCAGCCTGAATTACATTTGATAAGCTGACGCAGCAAGAAACACTTTCAGAGACGAATGCCGCTTAGCGACACAGGTGACCAGCCCTGGAGCGTCGTCGATGGAAAACCTTTCAGCCAAAGGCAACGATCTAAGCAAACCGTGCCTGACAGCGGAAGCAGTCCCCGTCTCATTGAGAGGGTCAACTTCCCGCAGCACGGAAAGAAAGACAGCATGGAAGTAGAGCTGCCGATTCACACAAAATTAGCCGAATCAGGAAACTGCACGATTGGCTCGGTTTGCCGCTGCAATCTCTCAGCCTGCTGGAAGCGGATAGGAGTGCAGAGGCGGCCCATGGCAAAGCGGCAGCAGCTGCTCACCAAGCTTCTGAAGTTTGCAAAGCACTACAGGCGAATGTGCTATCCGAATCTGCAACAATCAGCCAGTCCCACACGAGGGCACAGTATCTCGACATGCTTCCTCTAGCCGGTTCGGCACTGTTACTCCCGAGCTCCTTCCAGTCCCGCAAGTCCGCGTCTTTCAACCTCAGGTTTTGTTTTCCCACCTCCCCACCAAAGCAAACCACGCTGTCTCACCACCTGCTTGCGACGCTAGATACGATGGGTACGGCAGGCTGTGCAGAAGCCGTTGGAATGTTGCATGTTCATCGCTGCTTGGCCACAGCGTGGCATTGTACTCCTGGGTTCGGGCAAGCTGATCTCTCTAGCTTTGGAAGCGTTTCCATCAAGTCCACGAGCTCAAATTTTTGCTGGGATTCGGTGGCCACATTGATGGCATAGCCCCATTGAAAGTCCACATAGAACTCCTGAGCAGGCGTAGGCATCTTCTGGAGGCAACGGCCGGATGCTGGCCGCGCAACGAAGGCAGAGAAACAAAGAAGAGCCAGCGAGAAGAGAATGTGCCACATTTCAGGTAAACCGGCCAGAGGTGGCAATGTCATAATGTTGTGGCTGCGACACAAGCTCATAGTAGAATGCTGGTGCAGGCAAGACTGAAGCCGCGCAAGGGGGACAGGACGACCCATCATCAGGCCCGCACGTCCGACATCGCGTGTCAAGGCGGCATGATGCCAGAGCATGGCTCTAGACGCAAGAGCGGGGCGTCCGAGCAATAGAATGCATGTTGCAACCATGGAGGGTCTTCGGCAAGTCAGGCCGCAGGCTCATGGCCTTTGCCACAGCGAGCCTGTTGAACCCGAACCCTGGCAGCACCACAGCCTACCAGGCTTGAGAGCTCACCGCAGCCGTCGAGGTACGCAGAAGGGGGCACCATGTAGGGTAGTGACCGCAAACATGTGTTGCTCGGTAGGTCAATTACCCTGGAGCTTCGGCTGTCGACGAGAATCAAAATGCTTGAATCCAGCTGCTCTAAGGTTTCTATTAGTGCCTGCGCACCTACTGCAAGGTCTATCCAACATTGTGCCACTCCGCCTTTGACCTTGCACCCACCTGAAGCACACAAGCCTGATCTCGCGAAGTTGCACATTCAAGAAAATGCAACAATTTCAAATGCTTCCAGGAGTCGTCACAGGACTTGATGTAGCAGCGGGATGAGGCATCGTCTACGTGCGATGCAAAGCCAGCCAAACTCCGCCACAGGTTGTCTTCAAAGTTCTCCAGGGCCCTGGGCAGCACAAGTCACGTACGTCTGTAGGCCGCACAAAAAACTGAGCCCGAGCCCCAGAATCGTTTGTGTCTGCTGCCACGTCTCCATCCACTTGCAAGCACATCAGGACCCACCTTGTGTGGCAGCGCGAAAGGAGATTCCTGGCTAGGAACGAGGCAACGAAGTGCAATCGTACTGTGTCCAAGTAATCGAGCGCATCGAACATGTTCCTACCACACTTTCATATTCTTTCCCGCCGTGATGATGAGATGCCTACGCTTCACAAGAACTACTAGTTAAGCATGACAACTGCACCACTGGATCTTTCAGAAGGTGCTCCAAAAAGCCGGCCCTTCAGTAGCATGGACGACTGCTCACTTTGCACGAGTTGGTATCCCTGCCGTGGCACGACTTTGTACATATGCTTTGAAGCATCCATGCGTAGCAAAGAAGCTAGCATGAAACCGGTTATACGTTCTCGGTCCGAGTCTCACGAGACTCGAGATAAACGTACTTTCGCTTGATCATCTCCGCCCAGAATGTAACCTCACCTGCATGCGGCAGCACGTGCTACGACAAATTTACGTATGTCTGGCCTGTGCGCGTCACCGTACTGAACATATACTGCAAAACAACACTGCAAGACTGTGCATCAGGACTCTGGCTTCAGCAAGGCTCACAGCTGTCACTCCCAACAGCACAGATGAAGGAACGGGAGAACCCACCCAAGGGTGTGATGGCCCTTGCGCCCTGACTGCATCTTGGGTCATGCCCCCGAAACACCTCACTCCCCTTTCGTTAAGTCAACCCAGCTCTTGTACTCGCATGATCGCAAGAGCATCTGAATGGCTGCGGCCTAGACTTCGAAGATCACAAACGACCTTGGGCTCGAATGCATCCTCGCAGACCACCTTGCTGTCCAGCCTTTGGCAGCCTAGTCTGATTCCCTGATGTTGCGGCTGAGAAACCAAAATGTTCATATCGATGTCGAAAATATCCTGAAGATTCGTTAAGGCTGAGCACGTCTCCATCGAATGTCAACCCAGCCCAACAACCACCTTGATCTGGCCTCGTCTGCAGAAAGTTGCAGTGCGGCAGCGTGATGGTGGTGATCTGTCAAATAGAAGTGACTGCCACCGAGAACCTGGATTGTCTTGCAAGCCATCTCGGATGCGCTCAGTGCGTCCATCATTTAAATTCCTTCCCTTGCTCTGTCACCCTGCATCACAAGCCTGAGGATCTGACGACTGGGAACTGTGCCTTCCTTAGCAGGTGCCATGTACTTCGAGAGAAATTTTTTTAATGCCAGCAGGGGGCAACTGCACTTCCGAGCATGTCCCTCCGAAGCCCAAACACCACATCGGAGCTTTTCATGCGCAGGAAAACACTTGCGATTGCCCGGTCTGGCTATGTCTGGCTACAAAGCCTCTAACATTTCTCCAAGTGAAAGGTGCCTCAAAAAGCTTCTGCACGTGTCTGCAAACACTTAATCGACTTGCAGCACTTTGAGACATGCCGGCTGCGGGTTGCCTTGCGGCAACAACGCAGCATAGCCGGGCTGTTGGACCATGCAGCTCAGCGGAAGCCGACAGCGGCCTGCGCAAACAAAGTGGTGCCAGGAGGACTTTTTGTTCGCATGCATGGCTCAATCCGGAGGTTCAGTCCAAGAAACTTGTCTGTAAACAATCGAACCTCAACACGCTAGCGTGGCTGGTATCGCTCGTTTCATGCGGAAGCCTGCAACAAGCAAGTGGCACCGAGCCTGCCACAAGAAAGCAAGTAGGAAAAAGAAGACTGGCAGAATCGGCAGGACGTCGACGATGGGTGCGAAGATTACAAACTCCTGAACACGCAAAGCAGTGACACGAACATGAATGAAAGTGCAGAAAGATTCTAGCGCCTCGGGCAGGCGCGCATGCGCCACCTGCACATCAGCTCACGGCTTGGCGTATTCATCAAGGAGTACCGCAGCATCGCAAGAAATTCCCAAACGCTGCTGTGACACTCCCTAGCCACTGATAGAAAGACATGGATACAAGCCTAAGTAGCGGAGATCTCTAAGCAGCAAAACACCATACAAGAAGCATGCCATTTTTAACACGCACACTCGGACAAGCCTGGCAAGGTCTGCAGCGATACTGGTCCCATCGTTAACAGCTGGCTTTAAGAGTTCGCCATGCTTGGGAAAACATAGGTCGCAACTAGTTGCCATCACATGCCATCACAGTCATCACCTAACGCGGGTGGTTCGCTTCGTGTGGAAAATACAGGGCGCCACCGAGAGACGCCCAGGCAACGACACAAGGAGACCACCAAGAGACCACCAAGACATGATGCAGAGATATCAGGAGAACACCAGCAGATCATCACAAGACCACCTACGACGGAAACCACCAAGCGACCGCGAAGAGATCTCCAGAAGACACCAAGAGACCTCCACCAGACCACCAGGAGACCACTAAGAGAGCACCACGAGACCAGCAGTAGACCAACAAAAGACCACCAGGAGACCAGCAGGAGCTAGCGGAGAGCACCAGGAGACCACGATTTTGCACTTCCCCAAGTGACTGGCGCATAGAGCAGAACGCATGCAATGACTTCCCCCAAGTACTGGTGGGCTTGACACACATTCGAGTCGAAATCACTTTCCCCCAAGTGCTGCTGGAGTAGCTTGCCAGATCCAGAGGAACACCTGCATTCGTTTTCCCTCAGATGCTGGGATTCAAGGATGTCGAGCGCAAAGGACGCGTTTCGTATTATTTACCATGAACCCTGGCCCGAGGGCACACGCGGCAGGCGAATCCTCATGTCAGCGATGGCTACGCACCGTGCCACGCGGGAGACGCACGCCGCGAGCATCCTGTGCAAATTAGAGGCAATTATAGGTTAATAGTTATGATGCGGGGACTCTGTTCGCAACATCTGCTGTAAATAATTGGACACGGGGAGCCATTTTGCCCGCAGCCACCGCAGAATAAATTCTCTGTACGCTGAGCGCAACAACCCCATAGTATTACCACACTTTGAGGGATATAGGACACGGGAAGCCTTTTTCCGCACGCGGCTCCGCCATCAACTCTCTGGGCCGTACGCTCGCAGTCTCAGCAAACTGTTTGGACTCGGAGAATCTTGCCATGTATCATGGGTGAGGATGCGACAGACTGCAGGTGTCGCAGTTGCGCAGATGCAGGCCGCACAACACATCTGGGGTATGCGTGTGCGCAGCATCACGATTTACGCACTCTAGACTCTACCTGTAGCGTACGTGTTTGCAGAGAACATGGGCTAGACCAGATGGTGAAGCTTTGACGAGGATTAAGGTATTAAAGACTATACAGTCGTTTGACAGGGGTCCCACAGCAAAGGACTGGTAGGGGCAGCAGCGAAACTGGCCAAGGTTTGCGGTCCATTTTCAGTAGGGGTCCTTTGACAGAGCATCAGAGGAGGTAAAACTGGGCAAGAAAAAGCAAGAGATCTGGTGAACGGCAACCCCGCCTCGGGGGTTGCCAGAACAACTCCTGCTGCGATCTTTGCTGCTTCCTGCGTCACTCGCAAACACTGGTCACCAACGGACACCTCAAGAAGCTTTCCATCTACACTCCTCCGACCCGCGGAGGCTGTGCTCCTTGGATGGGCTGACGAAGGCCTCCAACTGCTTGGCCGACGGGTTCCACATGCAAAAACAACTACGGCTAGGAAATCGCACCCGCATTCCAGGCCCATTCCCGCCCTCGTGTTGGAGCTGCCCTGAAGGTTTCAGAGGCACACGCACACACACACACACACGCGCGCACACCCTGCAAGAACACACCCGATGATTCGTTGGTTTAGGTTTACGAACCGTGCATCTCTCGCGGTGCAGACGGTGGAACGAGCGCTTCAGAACTTCTGCCCGTCGATGCCTGAAAGGCCAGGAAGCTCAGCGCTGCGACCAACACCAGTGCCTGAGTGTCCATGTCAAGCAACCAACAGTCACGAGCCAGCGCCACCAATCACACTACCAATGGCTGGTCTCCTTTGGTTCAGAAGATTCCTCGAGTTCGCCGGGACCTATAACTCTCAGACATCCTAATCCAGTACCTGTTCCATGCATCCGAAGGCACACCGGAGCGACGAGCAGCCATGTGTTCGAGTTGAACAGATCGAGGGCTGCAGGCTGCGGTAACTGTGCCAAAACCCTAAACTCGGGCCAAAGGGCAGAGCGGATCAGACTCAAGAACAAAAGAGATGCCCCTTCAAGTCATTGGGTGAGGCCGACCGATTACAGCTGAGAATCTTGAGCTCTTTGGACGCATCCTTCTTTGACATAAAATATTTCTCGTGCTGTTCATGCACCCAGGCGAAGCCAATCGACGGCTGCGTAGGGAGTAGTAATGGGCCTCTGCGAGGAAAGGATCGGCAGGCGCTCTCTGACGATCGTGTGAGGCATCACCAGGCCTGCCAATTTTTCCTCTCCGTTCCAGCCAGTTGCTGTGAGTTCTCTCCAAGTTGCCAAGCAAGCATCACCGGCCTCGGCCCGCTGCCCCCTTCCCCACACAACCACATGGACCTGTCGACCCTGCCATTATTGCCATGCGTGTTTCGTCACCACAACGCGTCCCAGCCCGTTCAGGTAGCAAGATGTGGTTAGCATGCGACGGCTCCAGCCAGGCCTTCAGGGACGTGAGATGCTTCGTGCAGCGCTTGGCCGTGGCGAGGCTCGAGAGCAGTGCAACCAGCAAGCGCCATGTCTGCCACATTGCATTAGAACCAGTAGTGGTGCATCATACTAGAACTCCCAAAACTCGTAGACACTGGGATACACGATGATTTGGATGTTGCGCACGTGGTCCGACTTTGAACGACTGCTTAGGCGGCACAACGAATTAACACGGATGGTCTCTCGCTTCTATACCAGCATACATCTCCGGGCATCTGTCATCTGCCTAAGGATTGCTGCCGTATGGCTTGGGCACGCACCACTTTTCAAGCAAAGGCCGGCGACTGGACGTCCGTTGTTTTTCAATGGCACAATATGCAGCGACTGCTCAAAGCCCTGTGCCACTACCACTCATCACCGGACTCCTGCCCGATTGCACTTTTGGACAACCCTGGCAAGTGCGGCCTCGTTACGAGCAGTTCTAAATCTTCCTTGAGTCTTCCGGGCGTCCTCGGTATATTTGCCCGGACTACTTGGACTTGTCGGACTGGTGGGAGCCAGGTTCCTGCTAAAGAAGAACCCGTGAGTAGACGACTGAGAACAGCCGACTGGCATGTGGCTATCTGCGACTCGCAAAAAAGACGCTCTTGGATGGGGTCAGCACAACGAAACATGAAAGTAAGTGAAGCTTCGGGATGCCACCCTAAGTGATGAGAGCTTTCCCCTTGCCTCGTTTCAGGATCTGTCTCCTCTTGTCTGCATGCGACGGCTTCCTCGCGGTTGTTGAAACCACGAGGCGGAACTTGCCTTGCTTTCGCAATGGGAGGGGTCCTCTTCCTTCTCCTGGCGTGGCATCCGCGGCCTGAGGCGTGCCGTCGTTGGTCCTATTCCTATGCTCGAATCAAAAAGCTTATGCACAAGGCCAGACACTGGGGCAAAGCACTGCGACTGCCCAGCTGCAGGAGTCTCGACCTTGGTCGTACCACAGCATTACTCCTACGGTCTGAAGCCTTGCATGACATGTGTACCACTGTGTCATTGCTCTTCTTTCCAAACGAGAGCTTCAGCCTCGTCTTGCTGCATCAGGAGCTTCAGGACGTCTTCCTGTCCACGTATGCACTGCTACTGTAACAACTTTAAAAGTTTGCAAAAAGATCGCATTTGGGACCGAGGAACGCAACGAGCAAGATCGGCTGCTCGGTGGCCAGCCGCGTCAGGCAGCTCCTGGATCTTACGCACTTTGAGCGCGTGAGCGATCAGGAAGCTTTTCGGGGGTGAACTTTCAGCTGCTGCGGCCGTCAATTCTTCCAAGAATGATGTGCCACCAAGTCGCAACATCGGCACTCACCTAGCACGCATGAATAACAACGGTCTGCAATGGTGCGGCAAGTCACGGCAGTGCGGGCGTGAACATGCCAGTACACGAATGTTGATTGCATCAGATCTGAGGGTTCGCAGCTCCGATAAAGCCGTTGGCACCAAGCTATTTACAGCTGCAATCAGCTGCATATCGACAAGGTCAGATATGAAGCTTCGTGCTCTTCCAACACATGCTTTGAATGATGTTCAAACCGAATGCTCAAGAATGCACCTTGGCCAGGTAGGCCTTTTTCAATGAAACCCTCATTTGATCAAAGCCAGAGGTTTTTAACATGAGATCAGCAGCAAACATGACGATTTGTAGGGTTTCCTTCTTTCCTGCCTGGGGCAGATTATCTGAAGATAAGTGAAGCAAGCCCGAATCTCAAGAGCAGCTTCCGTTTCAGCCGTTAGCGCCCCCACCGGCAATGGAAGCCCGCGAAGGTTGGGAAACTCTGCCCTGCTCTTTGAGCTACGACTGTGGATTGCCATGTTCGGGTTATTACGAGTACCTCCAGTGACGACGAAACCAAACGTCAACACAGATTGCCAGGTAGGCCTCCAGCAGAAGCTGCACTGCATCTGCATGTCCCTTTGAGGCTGCGGAGTGTAGTGCTGTCCAGCCATTCTCGTCCGAGTCCTTATATACTTGCTTTGACATCTCCACATGTCTCCCTTTGCGAATCGCAATTGCTGTTTAGACCTCGTGGAAAAAGCCTGAACATGAGTCGAGCTGCTCGGAGAACAGCTCCTCCTGTGACCAAGACGGCGCATATGAACCACCCGTCATGGAAATACTGCGAGAGAAACTATCGAAACTGCGAGAGCTCTCGTCAACTACAAAGCACATGCATGCCTGTTGCTCGAAGCAGCAACATCATGACCTCACCTTAGTAGGGCAGCACAAATCATGGCAGGAAAACTTGAGGCCATCTGGCGCTCACCGATCACTATCGGCGGACACCTACCAAAAGTTCGACGACGTTAGACATGAACCACTGTTGTAGAAAGGTGCTCGATAATGGAACCATGTGGCAATTTCCATGGGTGGCACAAGCCAGGAAGGGTGTGCAGCCGTGGCCGTCCTGCACACACCAAAGCAGATCTGCGCCGAGTATCAACTTGGTATGGCATCCTACTGAATGTCTTACGGGGTGAAGGGTGAACACTCCGCACAAGTCCAGTCCTCAAAGGACGGGTTCGCCTGGAGCTCCAGCAGGGCCGCCACGCTTTGGGCAGAAATCGTTGCCGATTGGCAGTGGCAAAGCAGCGCGGTTCGCTGCTCGCAGTCGCGTGCATTGACGAAGGACAGATGCCTCAATGGACAGATCAGGGCTCCTAAGAGCACTAGGAAGGGATGAATGAACAAACGGACAAACTCCGGTGCAACCTGTAATGAATCGTGCCAGGCGACTCGTGTCTGAGCAGTTCCTGTTGAAGGTCTTGCCTGAGATTTATCCACGAGGGGGGCGGACGGTGGGCAGGCCAGAGGCCAGAGGCCAACTCTTCACGCCAGTTTCAGGATGTTTCAAAACACCCGGCGGACCCAGCCCACGGCATCACGCTGGTAAGCGTGGTGCAGCGGAGCCGCTTCGCAGAGACGTGTCGTGGCACAACCGTCACCAGAACAGAACTGTCTTGCTTGTGGAAATACCATGTCAACCTGAAGGCTGAAAGCAATCTGAAGCCTTGGGTGGCAGACGACTGTTCTGCGAAAAATGTTGACGGATCTCTTGGAGAAGAGCGGTGGCAATAGTTGAAAGGCTCGTCGTGGTTGCAACTGCAGAGGAACCACTCAAGACGTCCTGTGTCTTCAGCAAAATGGCACTGCGTCACGCCCCAGGACGTGGCAGGCTTTCGATTGCTTCACTACATGGCACAAGCTAATTACTTCTTGGAGGGCATGTGAAAGTTGGTTCGGCTGCCTCTCGCTCTGGACAGCTAAGGTAAACTCTGGTCGAACAGTCAGAAGCACAGGAAATGTCAGGCACAGGCAGCTTTCGGAAGCCTATTTCGTGTTAAGATGGCAGGTAAATCGGCGGCGCAACGAGGAGAAGTTCTTCGCAGCGATACATTCACCGACTTGGAATGTCATGACCCCTGTACGTAGCTGACAGTCTAGTCTATACACTGACCGGATCAGAACCCGTGCTGCCAACCAAACCGAGGAGCTCGTATCGCCGCGGCGCAGCAGCGGAACGAAGTGCGGCCAGCGCAGTGAGAAGTGATCCACCAGCCGCAGCCGCATGTAAGAGCGTGGAGCCATCTGGCACTGCGCGGAGTGTGCCGAGCAAAGAAGCCGCAGACGGCCCGAAGACCCGAAGACCTTTCCCAGGCCTTCGCTTCGAAGTTGAGTGATCTCCGGCGGAGGGTGCTTTCCACCAAGTGCCAGCGCCAGTGCCGCGTCGCTCTGCGCAGCGGCCTGCGGTCTCTCCAAAGCTTCAGCTGTCAGCTTCTCAACCTCTCCCGCGTGCAACATTCCGAGCACGTATGCTCTGCACATCTCTGCACACTGCAAAACAGGATCTGTTGGGTGATGTGTGTATTGCCAACGGCTGGAGGAAGCACGTGCACGTGTTGCTTTTTCTTCGACAGGTTTGCAAAGCTAGAGCCAATTGAACAAACTGGGCAGGGATGCTACTGTACCTTTACCAGAATCGCTGGTTTATCTCTTCCAGAGCCGTCCACCACCGCTACAGTGTCAGCTGCCTTTACAATACGTAGTTCGCAGAATGTGCTCATACGTGCTCATGCAGACATTTCGGAGACTCGTGCCCACGGAGGGCCTCGAATATCTTGCAACGTTCAGCAGCCGAGACTGCCCGTGCAGCAGCTGGCACGGGTGGACCTGACAGCACTTCTGGCAGCTTCTTCTCACAGCAAAACACCCGACATATTCCCTGCACTGTTAACCCTCACTACTCATTACAAGACTGCAAACCAACTCGGCAGTGTGCA